AGAGAGAGAGAGATTGGGGTGCATCTCTCTTCACATAGAAAGGGAGCTCTCTATTCTGTTTCATGAAATCCTCTTACAACCATGAGTGTTCTAGATTTAGATTTCTGCTTTCTAGCTTACCTACAAATTGTTCAGAAAAAAATCTTTATTTAGGCCATGTTCATCGTGTACTTCATCTGAAGGCTCAATCTCATGTATTTTTTGACATTTGCAGTGAGGATGGAAGGCTAGCTTGTGGATACTCCAGCTTCAGGGGAAAAAGAGCAAGCATGGAGGACTACTATGATCTAAAATCAGCTAAAATTGATGGACAATCAATTAGTCTTTTTGGAATATTTGATGGTCTGGTATTCTTCCTAGGAATGTCTATTTCTGGTTGTATTGATATGATATGTCTCATCTTATTGACATTTGGGTGTTGCAGGACATGGTGGCTCACGTGCCGCTGAATATTTAAGGAATCACTTATTTGACAACCTCACAAGGCACCCAAAATTCATGACAGACACAAAGCTTGCCATAAGTATTGACACACTTGTGAAATTGCTTCATGCTTTTATGACCTCTTTAGGCAGTTTTTCTCCCCATGTAAACATGTCCAATTTTGTGGCATTGTGATGGCAAATTGCAGGTGAAACATATAAAAAAACTGATTCAGATTTCTTGGATGCTGAATGCAATACTTCCAGAGATGATGGTTCTACAGCTTCTACAGCTGTTTTGATTGGCAAACACTTGTTTGTTGCTAATGTTGGAGATTCACGCGCCATAGTATCAAAAGCAGGAAAAGGTGACTTTTAGTTTTAATCTCTCAACTTTTTCTTTTTATTGATAAAGATGTATTAAAGAGGTTCTCGAAGATTGGATTAAGGATTATAATTTCGGGGTACAGGTCCGAGCTATAACAACATACCACATGTTGGTATGCTGGTACATCTGACACATCATTCTTTTTCCAGATACCCATGCCTTGTGTAGGAATTGACTCATCATTCTTGTTCCAAATATATGTGCCTTGTATAGGAACCTATGAGTCACAAACACTTCAAACCGCTCGACATGTCCATGCCAGACACTAACACTTCACAAATATTTTCTAGAAACATACTATAGTGAGTATTAAATGGTATTACCATAGGTCAGTTTACTATCTACAATAGACTTTCAGACATGTTGAATATTTGTGATACATGTGTATACATGAATCATTTTACTATCCGTGAATGTCTCCTCAGTATCCTTTGTCTCTTAAGCATATTCGTCAATGATTTTCGTGCTTCTTATGAGTTGCATATATGACGATCTTATATTGTGTAAATTATACAATGTATATCTTCATACCAAAAAGAGAGAGGGAGAGATAATTATTAATTGGTGTGTCCATACAATGTCATATCTTATATTTCTGATATGCCTGTGTACCAGGTCGTCTGTGTTGCATGTTCATCCATGCTTCATAGAATCATTCATAGGAACTCTACAAAATCAGAGACATAAAGATGTGTCCATCGAACTAAAACTGCATGATATTTATGATTTATTTGAATAAAATTTTAATACTTGCTTGGATGAGTTGGACCAATGAAGTGAATGGTTATTTGATGCAAGTGATGATTTTGAATTTCTGGATTATGGCTCATTATGAGTCACTTTGAAAAAGAGAATGGCCTCCACAATCGATCAACTGGAAACACTAAGCTAGGAAACAAACAGACTTTATTGCCATATGACATGTCTATACTTCTACAGCTGTTAACATTGATGAGTTATTCCTGAAGCATCACACTGTTTGTTCTTGTAGCAATTCCTCTTTCTGATGATCACAAGCCCAACAGAAGTGATGAGCGCAAGAGAATTGAGGATGCTGGAGGAGTTGTCATGTGGGCTGGTAAGTCTGAAGACAAGTACCTTCTCTTGTTCCTCACTAAGATCAATGCTATATCAGTTCTTCCCAAAGGTTATACATGATGCGTAAGTACTGAGTATATGGATTGGATATTAGAACAGAGGTCGTCTTGTTTTTTCTTTTGTTATGCAATGTTTCTTCTGTGTTCCCATTTTGTTTAGGATTCTAGCTGATAGAAATTTGCTCCATATTTTGGTAATGATGGGGTGACCAAGAGAAAAATGCATCGATCATTAAGGTAGAGAAGTAAAATATACTTCATATTGATGGTCAGAAAAAGTACTGTCCTTCTGTCCAAAACTTTGGGTACTTGATTTTTGACCCATATAGTTAGGTGTTTCCGCTGGACGTGGTTTTTCTAGAGGGGAGACGGGTGGCATCTGGATTGAACAACTTTGAGCTGTTGGTTGATTGTGGACATTTTTGTTTTATAGGTACTTGGAGGGTTGGAGGTGTATTGGCAATGTCACGAGCATTTGGTAACCGCCTTCTGAAACAATTTGTTGTGGCAGAACCTGAGATTCAGGTATTCCCCTAGAGATTCAGGTTTCCTCACAGCCCCTACAGACTCGTAGTAAACTTCGACAGATTTGTAGGTTATTGTGACTTTGATGTAAAAAGAAATTATGAAATTATATGCAGAAGTTTGCTTGCATTGACAAATATGGTACGCACCGGAATTTTCAGGTGCTGCATAAGAGACTATAAATAAACTTGTAGTTACACATCATAGCAAACTGTTAAATGCTATACACTTTTAGTGACATATCATCTGCAAACTATATGAGCAGTTCATTTTGTGCTAAACCTTCTTTCAGGAACAAGTGGTCGATGATGAATTGGAATTTCTGGTTTTGGCCAGTGATGGGCTGTGGGATGTGGTAACAAATGAGGTTAGATTCTCTTTTTCCTTCGAACTGTCTTCTTCGATAAATATGGAAAATCTCATTTTACTATACATTATTAGAGCTGATCAGCATTTATTAGAAGAAAATTTTCTCAAGTACATAAGGATAATTCATGTATCCTCTTAAAATTGTATTTTTATTTGTTCCCATATCAGGCACACATATCTGGATGAAACTTTATACATATTCTATGTTTCCTTAGGAATTCATTATACAAAGCAATTACCATCAGACCTGGAATGTGGTTGTAATATGTGCCTTCTTAATATTGACAAAAACATTTACCACAAACTTTATACGATTCATTGTTATCGTAAAGATGTTGGCAGTTCGACAAATTAGGGTGCGTACTGAAGGGTGGCTGTTCTGAAACGACTATTGGATGCTGCTTCACTGGAACTTATTTCAGGAAATAAAAAATTGTTCCAAAAGGATTTTCTGATCTCCACTAAACCACATCAAATGGGGAATCTTTTGAAAATTGATGAACAGTGATGTCACGATCATGCAATGGGTAGACTGGTTGCTTGATATTGAAATTTTCTTAATATGACATGATTTTAAAAAACAATGCAAAGCTCAAATAAGTATCAGTGATTTAGTATTTGCTACATGAAAATTGAGTAACTGTATGAATCAATTCTCAGAGTTAGTGCTTAATGTGATGTCAGATCAAAATTGTTGCAATCATATATAGAAAGCCTAGCAAATGTATCTGGGGACTTGATAATGTTGGCTAGTTGATCTGATTATTACATCTAGATTTGAAGACAATCTAAATATGATATCATAAAATTAGCATATTGGTATTTGTTTGAACTTGCATCATTGATGACAGTTAATTTATAAAGCAGAGAAGAGGGAGATAACAAGAATAGAATGAGGGGAAGAAAAAACCTTCAGCCCTTGTGTTCTTTAGTCAAATTCAAACTTCATCCTAGCATTTCTATCGAGGTATCTTTCTTTAAATGTACCCTCAAACTAGAATTTTTCTTAATTTGACTATAGTCGTGAATTGACTGACTGGTGGCATCTATTGTCTGAGAAAGGCCTGCTATATAGTATATAGATAACATGTTTTTTCTTGATATGGCTCACTGCGATATGCGGCATTTGTCCTGCAAGCTGCATGCCCTTGTGAACAACTCGGCTAGCGAGGTTGGCTTCCGCCAACCACAACTGGGTAAGGGTTGTGATTATGGCCGCAGACACAACTAATTGGGCATGAGAACTGTGACGTTGGTCTTTCTCTTTGAAGTCTGTTTCATCCGGGTTGGTTGCCTTTCCTCTCAAGGACCTCACGGATGACACCAGTGATGTGTGATGTCCTCTCTCACTCAAGTTGCTATTGGCATCATCCCATTCCCCTGTTGTGGGGAAACAATACCGTCATTGGGTGACTGCAGTTACCAACAAATGCCATTCGGCTTGAGGTCTTGAAACTGTCAAAGCCCAGTTAGCCTCTCCTTGTGTGAATGCTTTTCTGGCATTTACAATTGGGGACCCTTGCCCTTGTTTATTTGGTGCTGAAATAACCTTTGGCTGACTTGAGAATTAGAGGGGCTTCCACCAAGGTTAACTCCAACTACTATAAATCTCCATTTTGTAGGAACTTTTCCTCTCTCTATCTCTTGGCTTCCAGTTGGTCACTTGGAGCATCCTGAGTTTGATCTCCCCTCTATCTGCTTTCGCAACAACTCCAGCACATTTCTCCAATCCCACTCGGCGATGATGCTTTGGTTGAAGATATTGTTTGCTACCAATTAGTACTACTAACAGCCACTCAATTGGAATTTTGGTTAATACATTCCACCCTTGTTTTTCATCCATGATCTGGAGTAAAACCTGGTACTTTAAATAGCAAAGTTAACGGTGTGGCTTGTATTTTGTTCAGATTATACATACATCTCTAGTTGTCCGGTTACATTTATATCGATTTTACTAACTCTGCATTTCCCTTCTCTTGCCATCCTTATGGATCAGGATGCTGTATCAATCGTGAGAGCTGAAGAAGAACCTGATGCTGCGGCTCGGAAGTTGACGGAGACCGCCTTCTCTCGTGGCAGTGCAGACAACATAACATGCATCGTGGTCAGATTCCATCACGAGAAAACTAAAGTAGATTCTCCTCCTCCTGCAGGTACTCATGGTTGATGTCTCGATTCACCATGTGGGAGCCTACTTGATGCTCGGACGCCTTCGGTTTTATAAAATTTTTTACTCTCAGTCTATTGTCGTATGCACAACTTATTAATTAGAGGCTTTTCTATCACCCACGTAGCAGTGATCATCATGTCGTCGACTCTATTACTCGACCCTTCCTGTTCTAGTTTCATTTATTAATTTATTTTTCGAGTGTAGGAAATCCTCAAGCAACATTCTCATTATATTCTATTACGAACTTTGTTGTTTGCCGACATGCTCGGTGTCACATTTGTTGGATTGGTGCTACAATCCTCACGTGTCTCCTTGTGATAAGAACAAAAGCAGCAGATTATTCTATTACAAGTAGCAAAACTAAGGAAAGGATGATGAATGGACATCATCCTTGTCGACGAGACACAACGTTCTTTGTCTTCTGATTGCCTGATTGCTTGCATCGGTTAGAGTGTTGTCTGTTGTTGTTCGTCTGCTGGTTTCAGAAGCTTGTCTGCAAACATCGAGCCCACAGATTCTACTAGTGAACACCGGAAAGTGAAACAGGAAGGAAGAAGCCCACAGTTTGTTTGGAAGACACCCGTGGTTTACTCGTTACTGGCTTGGCCTTCCATATGGCCGGCTTTCCATCGACACCCTCTCTCGTTTCATTGGCTTCGCCGTCAACATCTTTCTCTTTCCCCTGAGATCATGACCGTGTATACTGTTTCCTGTAGACAATTCTGCCTTCTCGCTTCGTCTCTGCCTCTCTCTGTTCCTTTGACGATAACAGTATCGCTCTTTATTTAGGTGGTTCGCTGTGACATATCCGCCGCGCGAACACACGAACGATGTTTCATGCAAGCCATAGCTGATTCCCATCGAGACGGAGACAAGATGGTAAAAGCTATCTATAATATACATGATTGGATCCAAGAATACAACAAAAGGATCAAATCCGGTGAAGATAGGCGGTCAGAATATTTTGATGAACCAAAAGATAGAATCCGATTCACAAGCTTTATGGTCAAGCTTATCATTTTGTGCTTTTTAGTTCACATCGAGGACGACCCACCACCACAAGGGAGTTTTTCCGATTTAAAATGACAGAAAAGAAATATTCGTATAATAATCATTTTAATTTATTGTACTCAATTTTGACTCGTTCAATGCCCCAAAACGGACAAGAAAGCTCCGTGCGAGCTCGGATTTCTAGTTTAGCCGTTCTTCCCCGAATGGTTGACCTCAGAAGGGCCACGGAATGCTCTCAATAATGGGGCGGTCTCAACGTAGACGTGACGGGGTCCCGCCGCGGGCCCCGGTCGGTCGTTCTCTCTCTCTCTCTCTGGCCGATCCGCTGCATCCCAATTTGTAATCTGCGCACCCTCTTGCCCTCTTCAACCGTTCAGGAGAAGAGAATGAACGGTCTACCTCGCGGAGCGTTGGAGAGCCGTGTGGGACCCTCGGGTCTGTAGCAGTGCTACAGATACACGTGTACAATCGTAAGAAAATGGTCTTGCAGGGGATCTCGCCACTGGCCTTTTCCGCTTCCCCTTTCTACGGAGGGATTCGGGTGGTGGCGCAGAGAAGGAGACTTGCGTAACACAACAAGCATATAGAAATAGTGAACAGCAGTAGAAGACCGCGGAGAGGATAAGCTTCGGCGAAGAGGTTGCTTGCTCGTGTCTCCGAGCTCTCTTCTCGAGAAGCGAGAGAGGAGGAGGGTGAGTCCCGAAGCGTACAGGTGTAGGTGAATGGTTGGAGAGGGAGGGAGTCGAGCTGGGGGCGATCGGGAGTCCGAGTTCGTTGGCGTCGGCGGGTGGTGGTGGTCCGACCAGATGAGCGGCGGCGACGGGTGCCGTTTGATGGAGGCGGAGTACGTGCGGAGGCACCACAGGCACGAGCCGAGGGACAACCAGTGCAGCTCCACCCTCGTCAAGCACATCAAGGCTCCTGTTCATCTCGTATCGTCTCTTCCTCCCTCCCCTCATTCGCTTCCCCTCCCAAACTTCTCTTTCTGTCTACTTCTCTCCATCTTTCGATCTTGATCCTACATTCTGGAGATCTGATCCATCTCGCGGATTTGATGGTTCGTGCATCTTCTCCCGATCAGTGTCTTAAGAAATGGATCTCTTTTCATCGCACATTTTCGAGAAATAAGGAGAAGGCTTTGTTGAAGAGAACTGAATTCTTGACTTTCCAGATCTGAAGCCGAAGCAGATATTTCTTTCCCCCAATTTTGCCTTGTTCTGTTGCTTGTTACCAATCGCAAGTATGCGTTCCCTTAGATCCAAAAAAGGGGCAATATCATCGGAGTTGATATCTGGTTGTGAAGTGTTTCTACCTACTCATCAAGTAGAAAGCGATTCAAGCGGTCTTTGATCTTGTGGTGACAGGTGTGGTCATTGGTGAGGAGATTCGATCAGCCACAGAAGTACAAGCCCTTCGTCAGCAGGTGCGTGGTGCAGGGTGATCTTGAGGTCGGCAGCGTGCGAGAAGTTAATGTCAAGTCGGGGCTGCCGGCGACGACCAGCACCGAGAGATTGGAACTCCTTGATGACAATGAGCACGTCCTCAGCGTCAAGATTGTTGGCGGCGATCACAGACTAAGGGTTAGCAGTCTCTTCCCCGCATTTCATCTTCTGCTATTTTCGCCATTTTTCCTCCACCGGATTACTTTGCTGCTTACAAATTGCCTTCATAAGCTACAAACTTCATGCTTAGAGCTAAGCTCTAGTCAAAGGAACGAACATCCATGGATGCTACAGAAATCTGAAGTCCAGTTGCAGCTGCTTGCAATTTCTCAACTTGATCTATTTGTATTCTAAGCATCCTTTGATGTGCGATCAAATGAAGAAATATGACACTGATATGGATATATGGCTTAATGCTAGTTTATATATGATCATTGCATAAATTGGCAACCAAATTGACTCATTTATAGTGTAACCTTCCATTTCTCCCTTCACTCACCACTTTCTTTTCCCTCTGTATAACTTCATTAGGTGGATTTCTTAGTGTTCCAAGAACTCCTTGTCACTGAAATCCACCATATGCTGCCTTTTCTTCTTCTAATCAGTTCATGTTACTAATAATTGGAACAATTGTTCAAAAGGATTGTGCTATGTAGCATTTGTGTTATTGTCAGTGTGCAGTTTACTAATCTATAGCATCGAGAATTATAACAAAATACTCTTTTTCTTTTGTTTTTTCGAGAAAGAAGCTTGCTGTTTTCATTGATCCTGATCTACCTAACACCAAGTTACCCAAGTCCATTATAATTTTATCCATCGCCTATCTATGACCTGTTCGTAACTCCCAAAACTTCTTCATAGTGGCTCCGTTCCATGCCCCATTTCATAGGGAACCACAAAGTCTCTATTTCATTATATATTCCATCTATATGCCAATTCCATTCATTTAATATCCCTTTGGTGACATATAGTCTATCCGTTTCTATATTTGGAAAGTTAAACAATCTTCATATAATAATCAAGAAATTGCAACCGAAAAGAAAAAGGGGGGTTTGTGATGATTTTGAAATATTTTCTACTGGGTAAACTATTTTACTTATGCATTGCTTTTGCTCGACTTCCATTTATAGATTCAAAAGTGGAATGAGTTTGATTCTCTTCTTCCTCGAATCCCTGCTTTGTTGACATATATGCGAAGCAGCATTGTCGGAATGAAAACTCAGAATGTACAAAGACCAGTTTTTGTGACACAATGAGTGTTCCCTGATTTCACATGACAAATATATGGAATTCTTTCAGAAAGCTTTTATGATTATACTCTGCCAATTATTTTTCTCTGACTGGTTGGATGTTAGGAAGGTATCTGTTGGAAAGAAAAAGATCTGGTGCTGTTTTATGGACCTGCCAATTCTATGAGTGTTTGCTGATATGAATTAGACCGAAAGATGAATCCGATTCTGTATGCTTCACTTCTCAGCTGCGATTCGTCATTTTACATGTTACTTTGTGTGCAGAATTACTCTTCCATCATAACTGTGCATCCTGAGGTCATCGACGCGAGGCCGGGGACGCTTGTTATCGAGTCGTTCGTAGTCGATGTGCCAGATGGCAACACCAAGGACGAGACATGCTACTTCGTGGAGGCCTTGATTAAATGCAACCTCAAATCTTTAGCTGATGTGTCGGAGCGATTAGCAGTGCAGAACGCACAACCGATTAGTAATACGGATTTTGACGAGGCCAGTGCTGCGATGAGGGCTGCAACAATATGAGCTACCGAGAGTTTTGAGAATCTTGGCGAGCCAATTAGACAGGTTCCTGTCTCTCATCTCCACTTCTCTTCTTCTGCCTTTTTCTGTCCTTCCTTTAAGCTTCTTCTACAATTAGGGAACTGAGTGGTTCGATATAGCCTTCTTTTTCCCAGATGTAAAATTTCACAACCTAGGCTTAATTGACATGGATTATTAGCCCATGGTGTATGCACATAAATTACTAGTTTAAGTCCTATGTTTGCATGATGCTGCAGCCGGAAAATTCCACATTTGGATGCAAAACTGCTGAGCATGTGTTGGCACTCTGTGATCGAGCTTCTTTAGGTATCGTTGGAATCACCTGCAACCCGAACGAGAGACCTCATGCAAGGGGGCCTCGAGTTGCATTAGAAACTAGCAATCCTAATTCTCGAGATCTGCGATGCTTCTTCACCTTTTCTTCGTGATTGAATGAATGGATAGGTGGAATCTCACGTTGCTTCTTCATCAAGGCTGGTGGCTGAGACCTGTCAAATCCGCCGGTATTAGAGGTAAAATAAATAGTAGGACGATGTGACATACTCGATGACTTGGCCGCTGAGAAGCCAACATTGGCTATTGGTTATATCTTAATGAACATAGCCGGTTTTTCTCTACCGAGGCTCTCTCCTGCCATTGTAGATTAGTTGGGAGTCGTGAAACATCTGCCTGTTTTGGTGGAGTGAACCTAACCAATGCCTTGGGATAATTATCTTTGATCCATGTAATCTGTGGTTTACACAGTAATCAAAAACGAAAAGCAAAGTGGGGGATTTACACAATACTAAAAAAACGAGAAACAAAAAAAAAACTAGGAATAATTGCAGAAAGAGTGGAATCTCCAACCGTGATTTCAAATCCAATGATCATCAAGAATAAATACGAGTTCTTATTTCTTGAAAGGCTCCCATGTTTTGTACAGGTTTTTCATAATAATAATATTAAAATGAACAAAAAGTCTTCTGCAGATCCCATCCCTACTCAAAAAACACATCTGCTTTCTTCCTTTTTCATGTCAATGTGGACTCTCTGATCGACCGACGTTTGACAAATCACACCCCACCAACAAGGATTTTGGTTCCTTTGGTTTCCCTGCAAATTTTGATGCGAAATTGAAAAGAATAACTTCACATCTTCCTTGAACGCTCAATATATATGCCAAGAATTATCATAACTAGTCTAAAAATTGGCCTACGTTTGCATTACTGTACATTAGTTTACCAGGAAGAAAGACCGAAAAAATATGTCAAGACAACGCCGTTCAGGTCAAAGCAAGCTCCTCTTGCTGTTCAGGGAGTTGGACTTCTTGGTAAGGATTGAGGATTCGTTTGATGTCGTCCGCACTGAGAGTCTCGTACTCGAGAAGTGCATTAGCCAGTGCATGTAGCGCATTTTCATGCTGCAAAGAAAGAGTTAAATTTAGGTGAGAGAGAGAGAGAGAGCCTAATGTTGTCAGGAGATCACAAATAAAACAAAAAAGGAACAAAGACACTCGAGGCATGTTACTCCCAGACTATATACTATAAATTTGTGTTTCTTTCTTTGCTGTTCAAACATTTAGATTTCTTAGATTTGCTTGTAGAAAATCATAATTCTTAAAAAGTCAGAGACCTTCACCTGAGTATTGAAGAAAGTGGAGCAATTTTGACAGTGCATACTAACTAGCTGTGATAAATTTTCCCTGTTTGACTTTACTTTCGGAGTAAATTTATGAGATGCTATAAATACCTATCTGAAAATTCAGCTTCAAGGCATGCAATGAAGATAATCAACCACACGTGTAACCTTTGGTTTGTCAAAGAGACTTCTTTAACAGGAATTGATCAACATGAGCTACAAACTAATTTTCTGTCCAGTTGGTTTGCATGGACCATGAAGATTAATATTAAGCACCATGTTAAAAGGCATTCGATGCAAATTATAGATCAAGAGGCAAACCTTCTTTAGTAACTGTTTAACTCGATCATAAGCTTCTCGCAAGAGTTTGACCACCTGAATTTTCAAGAAAAAATCATGAGAAACATTAAAGTGTTCAACCACAAGAAATGTGAAATAACTTCATTATAGAAAACATACTTCTGCATCTATCCGCGACTGCATCTCAGAACCTGGCCGTTCTTTAACATAAACTGGGCCAATTGCATCACTCATTCCACAGGTTGAGACCTGCTCGGTAGCAGATAGTAAGAAAATGATATCCAAAAATTTAGTACTGGTGTGTTAAAAGATAGAGACACGGTACCATATAGTGAGCGAGCTCTGTGGCAGTGTGTAGATCATTACTAGCACCAGTTGTGACACTGTCTTCACCAAAGATGAGCTCTTCAGCTACCCTCCCTCCCATGCAGACATCAAGGCGAGCTAATAGCTGCTTCTTGCTAACAGATGTTTCATCTTGAGAAGGAAGTTGAGTTACCATCCCTAGTGCAGAACCTCGGGGCATAATGGTCGCTTTATGTATAGGATGAGCACCGTCAGTGTTGAGTGCAACAATGGCGTGACCGCTCTCATGGTAAGCAGTGAGCTGAAAGAAGAAAGTATGCTGTCAGTACCTTTTGCATTGACAAAAAGAATCAGAAGAAAGATTTTATCTAGAATGACAAAGGGTTAATTCAAAATAATAGTAACAGTAATATTAATGACATGGAAACCTTCTTTGAATCTTCAGATATATACATAGTTTTCCTTTCTGTACCCATAATTATCCTATCCTTTGCAAATTCCAATTGTGCAGCAGCTATGTTCTCGATGCCTTCTACTGCAGCCTTAATGGCAGCAATATTTACCAAGTTTGCAAGATCTACAAGTAATGCAGAATAAATTTAGTTGATTCGATTACTAAGAAATAATAATTTCCCTGATGTTGAACAACTGGAAATGAAGTACGTTCTCATTCGAGTTTTTGATAATTATTTGCATTAGAGGTTGGATTCGAGATAGTAAGAAACTAAAACAACCAACCTGCACCATTGAAGCCAGGAGTACCACGAGCAATTGCTTTTATGTCTACATCATCAGCTAATGGCTTGTCCTGCAAGTAAAGCTCCAGAATCTCCTGCCGACCCCGCACATCAGGACTCGGAACAACAATCTAGAAAGTGGATTTTGTTAGAATCTTTTGAGCACCAAGCCTAGAAATCAATCCAGCAACATTGTATCATAAATAAGATTATGCAAGCATAAAAAGATCTTAGTGCATAGACAGTATAGTTCCTTTCCACCTTTAATGATAAATAAACACAATTCCTGAACATATATTGCTCTAGAAGTAACAACATGAGCAGCGAGCATTATGATTCTCAGCTAATATTAGAAAAAAAATTCTATGCTAGGGAATTTCAAAGGTACTGCTTTCTATATCTGTCAGGATAACTTCAACAAGATACACAATATGATCCATAATTTTCAAAAATAAATATAGAGTATTTGGGATACGTAACCATCTGATTATTAGCCGAACACAATTCTATCACCCCATGATCAGTTTAGACCCATGCAGGGTCATAGCTAGGTTAGCGTGTCAAATATTCCAATATGATTTTCACATCCAAAACCTTGCTAATCTTCGTAATATGAGATCCATAGCTACTGAACTTCCTTCATATCTTATGAACTTATCCAAAAAACCTACATGATATTTCACTACTAGCTTTCAGCTTGATCACACCCAAAAAGAAAAAAAAAACGAAAATGGCTTATGTCCTTTGGGGCATGACCCAAAGACATGCTCTGATGCAAGTTGCATTTTTTCAGTTTCATGAAAGAAACAAAACATATATGATTCTCTTGTACAAAAGCTGGCTCCATCCAGTAGCCTTTTCTTCTCCTAGAAGCATTATTTATGTTACTAAAGATGAAACAATAAATAGTTAATCTTTTGTAACATAATTACGCTAACAAAGTCAAAAGACATAACATTCAAGATTTATCACCAAAAAAAGGAAAAAGAGAGACCCAGGCTGTAGTGCAAATGCCCTTCAATTGAAACACCACAAGAAAAAGTCATAATCATGATCTGATACAACCATAATGACTTGTAGGCTTTTCAGTAGCATGATCTTGAAGCAACAGGCTAACCTTCTTGATTGTTTAAGCTAATTTGCATGACAACATAGCCAACACTCAGAATATATTACAATGACAAGCAGAAAAATCAATTTGAAAACTTGGTATTCGAGTTGCAAATCTAATGTTCACTCAATTTGAAAAGTTGGTATTCGAGTTGCACATCTAATGTTCACTCAATATTTCCTATACTTTCAGTCACAACTAGCATAAGGTAACAAGCCAGAAAGGGAAGAATCTAAAAGTTAAGTACTTGAATTGAACCATTTTTATTTTATTATTATTCGCTTTTTTTGTAGAAACAAATGGGACTATAGCACCACGAGTATACCATGTACAGAAAACTGATAGAACTTACATGCCTATCGAATCTGCCAGGTCTTGTCAATGCTGGATCCAGTATATCTGGCAAGTTTGTAGCAGCCATCAATATTATTCCCTGAAAAGGAATGTAGCAGAGATTGAGAAGCATAGTTTTGGCACTTGAAAACACAATACCATTTCGCATTATGATGTACCTCATTTTGCTCAAAGCCATCCATTTCCACAAGCAGTTGATGCAACGTTTTCTTAGTGTGTCCCTCCCACTGCTTTCTAGTGGAACCCACAGCATCTATTTCATCAATGAAAATGATGCAAGGTGCCTATGACAATGAAAATTGACAAGCTTTAGTCCTATTAGCTTGAGGGTAGCCAAGAATTTCAGACTGACAAAAGGCAGAGAATTGAATTATGAAAAGAATTGAGTTGCTAGTAAAGAATGACAATGCGGAAGATTGGTAATCATCTCTTTTTTTTTACCCCTTCTTATGTGCACATGCATGCATCTACATGTATGGAAGTTCCCATAATGGTCCTAAGTCTCAGTTTTAGTTTTAGTTAACTAATGGCTGAACTAAAGACAATGCGGTGATTTTAAAGTTCTGAATTAGGCTCATTTTTGTTCTTCTTGCATAAAAAATATAAAAGAGATCATAAAATTTTAAACAATTAAGTGGAAATGTAGAAAATGGCTATCAAGAAAAAATTCTCAGAACTTAAAAGTCAGAGAAAACGCAGAGAAAAATGAGGATCAGCCATCTACACACTGCAGTGTAGATAAATATATTGTCCTCGACCAATTTATTGAAATTTTCAATTAAAAATGGAGATTGACCATCTACACACTGCAGTGTAGATAAAATTTATATTGACCTCAACCAATTTTTTGAATTTTAAATATATTGACATTGTTTACAATTGAAAAAATGTCGAAGTTCTTTACAATCAAAGTTTTTTGGACTTCAATTGTGCACTTGTATCATAGCACAAGCCTGAAGGAAAAAACTGAAATTGCATTCGGAAGGAAAAAAATTGTGTGCATTTCAAGTATCTTCTGGAATTTTCAAACAACAAGAACAAGAGGCAAAAGCAAAGGATTTTTGTAATTTTTTAAAATAAAACAGATTGGAGGACAAAATGATTTTTTTTTAAGCAGCAGTGAGTAGCATCAAGTTTTGAAGGAACCACATGAAGGGAGCTGTTTAGACAGTTCTATATCAATTTACATTTTTTGTACATTCAACCAGTTATAATATGAACTTAAGAAGCAAGGATTAAAAACTTGGTCTGTTATCAATTCTGGTTGGTGGCTGGACTGGTACTGATATCATATGAAGTGTCAATACTGGTTTGTACCAATCAATAGTAGTCACACAGCTACAAATAGATGTGAAAGTGAAGGAGTTAAGTATGAGGCAAAGGAGAAGCATAGTCATGACAACAAAAGGAGGAGGTGAAGTGGAGAAGGTAAGTATGAGGAGGCAGAAGAGATGCAGGGCAGCTAAAGAAGACGAAGAAGAAGAGAAGAGAAAGAAAAAAAATAGAAGAATGAGAAGTACAATTAGCCATACTGTCACGGACAAATCTGTACACAGAGTGTTCGATGTAATATTTGTATATGTTTGTATCCTTCGATTTTGTTTATGCTTGGTACAACATGTAGAGGACTAACAATAGGCTTGATGCCCCATTTTGGTTAACTTTTGTAACCGTTTTAGTCTTGCAAGTGTAGGTTGTGTGAAGTAGTCGCATAGAGGCAAAACTGGCTAAGAACAAGATATCCAAGCAGTCATTTTAGGAGTTTTCTAGTTCAGCAAAGTGGTGCAGTGTCAGCTAGTATAGCATCCTAGAGCTAACCAAGTAGCACATGGTTGAATGAGCCTTTGGGGTATTGTCTAGGACCGCTTTGCTGTCTTGTTCCACAAAAGTGTCATGTGAGCACTTGTGAGGATTTTTGGCTGTGATGGACCACCTTGAACCATTTCTCATGTGATTATTCAGAGCTTAAAAAATCTATCTTTGTAATTTGTATTGACTATCAAGTGCCTGCTAAAATGTCTGCTTATGGGATCCCGAGTTAAACGCTTTCTCTAATCCATCTTCTGTTTTGTAGATCCTTATGGGACCATAAGAGGTTTCGGAGAGACTGATCCTTTGTGGACGAACATGCAAGGGAGATGCACAACTTAGGCAAAACCAGATAAATCTGTGACAGTACCGAGTTGTAAATGATCTAGTTTAGCCAGACATCAATCAACTTACTACTTGATAAGCTTAGTGTAACAAGCTTATAGGGTGGTAAGCATGGTTCCAGACCGAATTGGATAATAGACAATCCATATACCGGTCAACTGTCAAACCCAGTAAAAACTAATAGCAGGTAGAGAAGCACTTATGGTAGTAGGGAGGAGATGGTGATTCATCAATTTTAATGGGGAGGAGAAGTGGAGAAGTGAAAGAAAAGGAAGAGAAAAAAAAAGAAGGGGCACAACAGCAACTGTCATCAGCAGCGATTTCAATAGGCGCTCGGGCGAGGCGAGGCCCGAGCGCCTTGCTTCATATCTAGATGCTCGCCGGAGCCCAGGCGCCGGGCGCTTTGGGCAAGCGCCGGGCGCTTTGGGCAAGCGCCCAGGTTAAACCAGGCGACCGAACCAGTGTTTTATGTTTGGTTCGGTCTCCGGTGCTTCAGTTGGTTCGATTGAACCAACTAAAGCATCGACATCAGCCTCCCAGCATCCCTCTCGCGACTTCCCCAACCTTAACCTCGCTCGTCGCTACCGCTGCCACTATCGCCGCTCCTGCTGGCGTCGCTTGCCGCTCCCGCTGCAGCTCCCACTGCTTACTGCTACTACTACTGCTGCAGTTGCTTGCTGCTACCGCTGCCACTATCGTTGCTCGCCGCTCCCGCTGTCGCTGCCGCTGCTCACCGCTATCGCTGCCACTGTCACCGCTCATCGCTCCCGCTGCTTACTGCTACCGCTGCCACTGTCGCTGCCGCTGCTCACCGCTATCGCTGCCACTGTCACCGCTCATCGCTCCCGCTGCTTACTGCTACCGCTGTCGCTGCCACTGTCGCCGCTCACCTCTCCTGCTCCTGCTGCTCGCTGCTACCTCTTCTCACATTGATTCGATAGTATACTGTTAGTAGTATATTAACAATATACTGTTAACTGTATACTAGTAACAATATTTTTTTTATTTATTAGATTAATAATATATTATTTTGATTTTAATACTGCTAATTTTTATTTATTTGAAATTATTGTCATTGTTTTGAATTTTGAGATTTTTTTTGTTAATGTGATATTATGATTTTGTAAGATTTTTTAATTTAATATCATATTTTTATTTAAATAATTATATTTATTAATTATATTATATATTTTTATATTTTAGCGCCTCGTTTCGCTCGGGCGAGCGCCTCGGGTGTTTTTGGACCTTGACACCTTTTGGCGCCTAGGGCTTTTTAAGTCACTGGTCATCAGACAATAAGATAGACGAGGAGCAATTGTGTCAGTGGGAAAAAGATGACAATTCAGCAATTTGATACACTTGGGTGATGGCTAGCTTACCGCTTGCTAAGCCCAATGCAATAAGCTTACCGGGTGCTAATCTCGTCTCTCAACCAAACCCTGTGAAATTATTTGGTTGTTACTGGCTAGCCATTGGACTTATAAAAACCAGACTGTACCAACTGGTATGATCAGTTTTTAAAATCTTGCTTAGAAAAACATATTAACCAAGGATTATTTGAAATCAAGTCAATGGTGTTTATCAAACTTTATTTCAGCCTACATCTGGCCAAAACCAATTCAAATAATCAATGTCATCAAAAATTAATACCATACTTTTCATGCTACACCTTACCATTCCATGAAAAGATTTAATTTAAACATCCCATATGTCATTGGCAAATTGTTTGGATCAATTACCCTTGGAAATTTTATATGATTTTTATGTTTACAATTTTCATTTTTTTTTATTTGAACAGAAATGGTAACAGGAATGTTGAATCACATAATTTCCAATACAGCTTTTATAAACTTCTTTTTCTGAAGTGGCCACTCTATGCCTAATGCAAGTGGTCAAGATACTGCATAGCACAAGTTATATGGGTGCACATTCATATTAAAATAGATAGAATGTATAGACAAACAGAGGAGAAAATATAGACCAGCACGTTCTATGGACAAAAGATAAATAACAAACATATGCCATAGACAAATAAAAAAGCTATGCAATGACATTCATATGAAAACATGAAAGTGATAAGTTAAAAGAAACATGTAAAGAAAGATGCATAAACCAAATGCATACTTGTATCAACCTTGTTAACTAGTAGAAAGAAGGAAAAAATATAGACCAGCACGCAATCACATATTCGTACCTATGTGTAATGCATAAGCAACCCATGAAGCTGTACACACTGCATATGCAATTGCATATGAGATGCCACATACACCACTTTTCAAAATAATAGCTTTTGGTAATTAATAAGTGATGGTTTCAGATAATAAAAATAACCGATATAAGTGTTAGCATCTAGAAGTTAATTGTCACATTAACTTCTTTTAAGTAGAAAAGAAAGAACTAATAAACATAAGAGATAACCTTATTATGACAATCAAACACCAAAGGTAAGATGTTATCATGTTTGAAATAACAAAATCATAACTAATAAGTAGATAAATCAATTAAAATCTAGAAGTAATCCGAAGTCTACCTTCTTTTTAGCTGCCTGAAATAATGACCGCACACGACGAGCTCCAACTCCTACAAACCTGGCATGAAAGGTAAGTCACAAGAAGTTCCTTAATTTGATATTCTAGAATAAAGACATCTTGTAAACCCTGTTGAAAGGTAATCAATGGGAATAATGAAATTCTCAATTACTTCAAAGGACATGGAATGCTGGTTTTAAGTTGTACCTGAAAGCTATCTAAAACAGGTAATGTTGTACCAATAACAACAATTTATTTCTACCACTAAAAAGATGAAAGCAATATACAAGTTAGTGACAACTTTTGCCTTGTCCCACTGGACAAAGTCAGATAGTGCATGTATACTAAAGCGAGGACCATTTTGTGATAATATTAGACTTCAGGAAAAAGCAGACAAGGTTCAAAATGGCATCAAAATAGATTACCCACGATAACAATTGGGAATGGAAATTATCGAGATAAACCAGACCCTTGGCAAGGAAGTTATATGAATGAAATCCATCTTTTCCAACATGTTTAATTTGCTCAGGAAAACAAAATTACATTTAGTTAAACCAAAAGTATAGCATGTAATTGGAGATCATTGATGCATGTAGGTTCTCTTACATTTCCTCAAATTCTGAACCTGCTTTGTAGAAGAAAGGCACACCAGCTTCACCTGCAATAGCCTGTGGCGAACAAGATTTGGTCATTGTGATAGAATAATACAGCGCATAACAAACAGTAAATTTTATTCGATTTATAAAGGGAACTTGCACCTATAAGGTCTGTATATCAAATTATGAACTGACTACCAAGAATGACAACTTATAATGCATACCAGAGGGTAACCGGATGTTAGAATTCACCAATATGGCAATGCCAGCAAGTTTTGAATGTCAGATATACATATCAAGCCGTGCCATTCATAATAATATTGGCGGAGCAGCTGTTGAGCACACACTGATAAACTTGGCACTGTAATGTTTGTGGCTGGTGTGTCTCAGCAGGTGCTCAGTTATGAACAATGTAATTCTGACCTTGCCCACTAAGTCATCATGCACCCACGGGATATGACATGATAATCCTTTATTACACTTAAAAAAAGAAACAGCAATTTTCAACCTTTCTTCTCTGCATATGCAGAGAATACAAAGGAAAATGACACTTCAATTTCCTTGATCATTTAATTTTGTCATATGCAAATTCTCTTCTATGTTGAAGAAGGGATTTGTCACCTGAGTTAACTTACTCCAAATTACAGATCATCAGCAAACACACTCACCAATACAACAAGCTACCTAGGCCAAGTTGGTTGCACCACCAGTCAACCAAGTTAATCTACAGCATAAATATCTGTAAATAAGTGGAACTATTGAGCTAAAAGTCAGTCACTTAATATATCTCTGGCTTGAGTATTATTGTCAACCTACACTAAAATAAGCTGCCAATGGAACCTATCTGAGTCATTTACATCACAATGCCATGCATTCATATGTACAAACACATAACAACAGTTTATCTATGGATACACAGATAACTTCTTTTGAATATGGAGAAGGCATATTCTCACCTTTGCGAGCAAAGTCTTTCCAGTGCCAGGTGCGCCAGTCAAAAGAATTCCCTATGAAAGAACATATTCCAAGTTCATATATCAAAAGAAACAAATATTGGAAGTGTTTAAAAATCTTGATTCCGAATTAAATAAGTAAAAGGTGCACATCATCATCACAGTCTGGCATAATAACAGACGCATATCATGGATCAAAACTCCAAAGACAAGATTAAACATTACAAACAAGATTCAAATCTTAGACCTATCAGATCCCTCAAATGGTCTTTAGATTTAAGCTACACAATGATACTGTACAAACAGTTGCAGCACATGGGCAAGATGCCAAAAGATAAAAATCTACCTATATATGTTGGAAAACATATGTAAAACATGCAGATGAACTACGCAAGTATAACAATTTTGCACGAACCTTCGGCAATTTCCCACCAAGCCGAGTGAATTTTGCTGGGTTCTTAAGATACTCAACCACTTCCTCAAGCTCTTGCTTTGCATCATCACAACCTTTTACATCCTTAAAGGTTTTAACATTCTGCACAAGTATTACAAGAATTTGTAGAACAATCTGAGATCCTTCTGATCCCCTCTATGCTTATGTTAGAAACTGAAATATAAGCAAGCAAGATAGATTTGATAAAAACATCAGTTTCATGATAAAGTAATTAAGAGATTAGCAATTAAAAATAAAAATTTTGAAAATATTACAATACAAAATTTGATCACAATAATGAGGACAGCAAGAACTGAGTTAAACATGCTTAGCACAATATCCTTCTAAAAGAAAAGCTATATTCAATAAATGTAATCCCAGTTTGCATAAAATAATCACTGTACAAAAATATCTTCAACCATAAATTAATATATTTTACAACATTCTTCCAAGTTGAACTTCCCTCAAACATGTCAAATCTAAAATCAACAGAGAGATACATACACTTCAAGAGTACTATCATCTATATATATATATATCACTTCAACTCAAAATTATTACCACAATAAGTGAAATAAAACTCCGCTAAAGGATAAAGGGTCTTCTAAAACACAAAAATGGAAATCAAAAGTCTAAACCCCGGTAGAGTGATTGAAGTGATTTGCTCTGTAGTCTGTACAAGTTCTAAAGGCACAAAAAGTCAGGCTGCATCACCATTATGACAAGTCAAAATCTTTTTGATGTAGCCTTTTGCTAATTGTCAATGTTACTCAAAGCAAGGATATGCAACTTATTTGCAAACATTTAACTCTGTTAATGAGATTCCAGAATAGCAATAATCATTTTATATAGCATAGGTAAACTGCCATATTCTTGTCAAACAATTCATCACAATACATTAGGATCCATGTGCACATATCAATCAAAAAGAAAAAACTGCAAAAAATTGTCTTGTGTTTTCTTCAAGAATAATGGACCAAAATCAACATGGCATATGAATTATTTCAGATATTTGAAAATTTTCAATACAAGTCACACCTCCATTGCAAGCACATAAAAGCACAAGAGGATCATATTACCTTCTCTGGCATGATTTCTTTGTTCAACTCTTTTGGGGCATATGTGGCACTTGAACCAACACCAGATGTCCCAATACCACCTAAGCTGCCAACATACTTTTGCAGTGCAGCTGCACCCAACACCCTTGCAATCAAAATAACATGCAAATCAAATCAGCAATTTTAAGTGAATCTGCAAAATTTGGTGACAACACTTACAGAAATAAGAGCAAAAAAATCATGATCTCTTAAGCATTAAGAAAGTTTGCAATGGGACAAAGAATCAAATAAGAACGTTATGACACAGGAGAACCTAACTGGCAAAGTAGCTTATAGTTGATTCTATCATTTGTATTCCATAATTTTTGTCATGTGCCTTATAGACCACAAGTATCCATATTTCTTTGCACAAATTGAATATAATTTTTCTACATTCTCATCCATTTGTTTCAGGAGTTCTCCTATTCTTATTGTGAAATCAAGAAGCAATACTCCAAAATAATGAAGTGAAAAGAAGTAAACCATGAATCCAGAAGGAAAATAAAAGATTGCCTTAAATCGATCACTAGGACAGCAAAGAGCAGAGACATTTTCAATGGACTAACATGTAGAATCAGGACCTTTCTGGAGAAAATTCAATCAGGTGTGCAGATGAACCATGACAATTTCTTCAGCACATAAATTTGCCATCAACATAGATCAATTGCAAAATAATTGTTGCCACACCAAAGAGTTGGGACTTTACAGTTTCTTCATGTGGCAGGTGTATAAATTTGCACCAGCTACAAACTGGAGAATCACTACTCCCCCAATTTGCACAAGAGAAAATTGATAATAAGATGGAGAAAGAACCTTTTTGAAGTGAAATCTCACCCTAATACTCAAATTTATTATTGAATATAGTTCTCATGAGAAAACTCATGTCCTATCAAATAATACTACATGCAGCATACATAGATGTATAGAAGGTTGAGAGTTACATGTTACGATACTAGAGCCTTTTTTTTTTCTTTCATGAGAATCCTATCCTATTCTCCATATTATCTTTGTTAGTAAGGATCTTCATTCATGCATGCTAAACTTCTTAGTCCCAAATCGCTTCTCTCTCTCTCTCTCTCTCTCTCTCTCTATCAAACAACAACAAGCTAAATCTAAGAAAATGAGATAAATTGCTTCTAAGATATTAACTCATCTTGTGCTCTTCAAGGCATCTGGAATCTGGATGGTAAAGATGCCTCAGCTTCCAAGTGAGTTGACCTAGCTCCAGAGCATAATCCATAGAGATGTTTATAATAGGTATGACAAAGGTTAATGTTGGTGGTCAAGCACCTCAGCCAACCCTTATTTCCCAAGCTAGAATTGGACATGCAAAGGATTTAACCACCTTGTTTCTCAACAACAAGATTTATTTTTTGCATTCTTTTTGTCCAAAACAGGAATCAATTAATAAGACCCTTGGGAAAACTATCTCAAACCAACCATATAGCAGCAATTTTCATGGACCCCCTTGTTTCAACAGAGAATTTGTATTACAGAATGGAAATGAATTTTTGCACTTGAGCCAAATCCCTTTCTATAATTTAGTTGATGTACTTTAAAAGCAATAAACGGCCAGCTATAATACATTTTCCCAGTCCCAGTTCCAAAATCTTATGTTCTGACCATAATGTGTAAAGAATATCTGATTGGAGATTCTAGGTTTCTACGCAGCAAATGGCAATCTTTTTCTCTAAAGAAAAGGACATTAATAATCAATAATTTCTCATGCCCTAGAATGTATATCATATTATTAACCCAAATAACTTTGTCCTATTCTATATCATCACTAGTCTCTAAACTAAAATTAAAATCCCTCCTATGTTAAGCTATGATGAACAACTTTGTATGGAAAAGTTTTGACAAGACTACTATTCGACAAATAGCTACTCGAGTAACACCATCCCACTTTATTATCTGTATATGTGCACATACGGACATATACATGTTTATGAATTTTATGACAAACCATGACAAGCACCATTTCATCTTCCTATCTAAATTATGCCAAGGTTTTAGCACCAAGGACTGCACTTTGGAGTTACCAACTAGGAAAATCAGACTATTGACACAAGCACCATTTTGGTCTTGCCATTTGGGTTATGCTAAGGCTATAAAACCAAGGACAACACATTGGAGTCCCGGGCAGATCCCATACTGAATAAATACGCAACTTAGTCATTCACCAAGATAACTTTCTTAACTGAACTTCAGTGGACATTGAAATTTATTCCATTTCCATCCATGTATCTATAAAACCTATTTTGCTCCTCCTGTGTAAAAAAAATTTAAAAAAAACTAAAAGAATTAAAAAAAAATTGACTCCACCATACTTGTTGTCTTCATTTTCTAATCAGCATCCTGAAACAAAGGATCATATTCTAAGAACATATTCATTACATTAGGTAATTAATATCACTCATGGGAATAACTCTAGTGCACCAAACATAAAAATGCCAGGACAACTGACAGTAAATAATGGAGGTGGATTGTATAAGTTAACACTTGGTTAGATAGATGACAAGCTATAGTGTTTCTATGCATGTTTCCATCAAGAACAAATAAATTTGAAGATAAATGCAATGCATACCACATAAAACCGACAGCAATGGTAAATAAGATGGTTGAGAGGAGTTCTTGAGCAAATCGTGATGATCTATTTGATGCTTTAGGGTCAACCTGTGAAGCAAAACATAAAACATTAGAGATTAAATCAACTGCAGAGAAGATTTAGCAAACTACAGGATATGGGAAATAATGTGTCCTTGAATAGTAGAATTCATTTTCAAGATAGAAATGAATAAATTGAAAGGCCACAATCTTACCATAACTACATGCAGTGGTTGCTTCTCTGATATTCCAGGATTCAAGAATGGCTCATCCTCATTTCCAGATGCACGTTGCTTTAACTCTTGCAACTACTGACATAAAATTATTTTACGATCAGAGAGGTCTCAGATATAGCATACCAGAACAAAGACAACTCTAATGAAAAAGAAAAGGTAAAATCCCATCAATGCACACTGTTTTCTGCATTTCTTTCTGTATTTCCTATGTTCACAGTTCCCCTGCAATTCATGTATGCTGAAGCAGTAACCATTGACAGATAAATTCCTATTAACATAACATTTGGCACCATGAAATGGAGAGACAGCACTATAGAATGTTAATCATGAATATGTTACATAAGTGGCAAAATATTTGTATTAAAAATTAGAAAGCTCTAACAAACAAGCAATGAGGTAAAGAAACAAACTAATTAACAGATGATGAAAGTTGTAAAAAAAGAGTTAAAACTGGTTTTTAAACATGTTATGATACTAAAAGAACTTATGGACCTTAATATAATATCAGCCAAGAAAATTTTCTAAATTAACTAATAGTAAGTCACCTATGAACCAAAATGATGCAAGTAGTAGATAGAATGATATAAGTGGATAAAGATTACACTTATGTTAGCTCATATAAAATTTTATAGGAAGAGGGAAATGCAAGGGAAAATAAAAGGAAAGACAAGCAAAACAAAAACTGATGAAACAAAAGAATGCATTCTTAATTACTGCATGATACTCTCACTGGCTTAGTGACTATGCATACACATGATGCAAAAAAATATATAGACGAAAATGATGTCAAAAATACCAGTGTAGGAAGGCTGGAAGGTTTTCCTGAACCCTCATCTGGAAGATATTCTGCAAGAGCATTAGTTACAACAAGAGCTCGAAGATATTCTGCAACTCCTCTGCTATCTATTGCATGATTTCTTTGTTCAAACCGTCTGATGACTGCTTCAGGGCTGCCAGAAGATTTCAGATGTGATAAGATCAGATCAACAAAGAAGACAGTTATGCACTAATACATCACATAAGCATCTGATTCTGCCTGATGATCTAGAATAGTATGATTACCTATGCATGTCACTCTAATTCAATTTCAACTACATTAAGGAACCCCGAGACATAATAAAAAGCCCTTCTATATATAACCCTTCCTGGTAGGATTGGATGTGACTACAAAAAGGGGCAAACAAGTGAAGCTGGGTGAGATAGTTAATCCAATTCATCCCCTCAATGACAAATTTCTTCAAGACAGCACAAAAACCCACATTAAGTGGATTCTGTTCCCTCGAAGAAGTCTGGATGATAAGATAACGCTTACATATCTAACATACAATTATGCTCACTGTTACACGTAGAAGAACATGTAGACAAATGCAACTTTATGCAATGATCCATTGACAACATCAATTCAGGTCCAATGATCTTGTTAACTAGAAAAACGATTCACATGGCAAATAGATGAAGAAGAGACGAAAATTGCCGCAGCTGAACCTGTGCTTATTGAGCTCGGCAAGAAGGGCACTCTCCTTGCCAGCATCCTTGGGGTTTGCATCGGCATCGGCAATCAGCCGCTCCAGCCTCTGCTCCTTTCTCCAGAAGGGCCACCAGCTCAGCCACTCCGACATCAACAACGCGTTCAAACTCTTCCTAGCCGAAGCCAGGACTCCCATCAAGTACAACATGAGAGGCAACCTGCTCTCTGTCCCCGTCTTCTCCACCGACTCCTCCACAAAAGCAGCACCATTTCCGGCATCACCTACAACGGCAGCAGCGTCGAGCTCCCCTCTCAAGCTCTCTCCAGCGGAATCTTGTGAAAGCTGAGAGTTTAGGAGGCCTTGGGCATCCAAGGAGGAATCTTTATCGGGAGATGAGGGTTCAAGAAACGAATCCGTGTTCTCGGAAGGCAATGCGCGGGGAGCGGGGGCGAGGTTGAGACGGCGGTGGGAACGGGATTTGTGGAGGTGAGAGGGGATCAAGAAGCCGGCGGGGCGACGGAGAGCGGTAGGGCAGAGGCGCTCAGGGCGGCGCGAGGGGGGAGGCGAAGGCAACGGCCGGAAGAGGAGAAAGGCTTGGAGGGCCATCATGGCGGCGCTGCGCGTCGATTGCAGCGGCGAATGAAGCCACTGCGTCTCTCTCTCTCTCTCTCTCTCTCTCTCGTGGGGGAAGAGGGGTTAATTTAGGGATTTTAGTTCACCGAGAGCCACACGATTTGGGGTTGACAAGGAGGGGAAGGGGAAGGAGAGGAGCCGAAACCTTATCGCGCGAGCAGAGATTAGGGAGCAAGTCATGCACCCAAAGCGTGGAACCGATGCTTCTATTGGTGCTTACGCATGCTAAAATATCGGAACCTTACGATGCATCGATGACAGACCAATTTTTCCCTTATTCCAAACTTGCGTCTTATTTTTTGTGATTTATACCCAAATAATTCATCATATTTATCCATGTTTGATTTGTTTCACGAAATTTCGCTATGTCTCGTATTTATCAGTCACAATTAGGCCGATTAGAAGAACGAGCGTTCACCTAAGCGAGATTTCCATTTTTTTTTCAAGGTAAAAAAAACCAAGAAAATCAAATTATTCTGGTTGACCATTCGCTTAATTCTTTTTAGACGTAACTAAGTACATCTAATTATTTTTATATTCATGAACCAAATCTCTCAAATCAATTAAAAATTCACTTATTTTGGAATGATTGTTTTCATCGTTTATCAATTAAATATTAAATATTAGAAAGCAGGACTAATTACATATTATATTTTTTAATTAGTTATCTTCGGCATCATAATTTTATATTTTTAAAAATTATATTAAGATTTCTATATTTATTAAAATAAATTATTTAATCTTATTTTTTTCATATTATCGATTTTATTGATGAAAATATCATATGATTTATTACCGAGATTCTATCATATTTTACTTTATTATTGAATTTTTTATCAATAGAATTAAAATAAATATAAAAATCTTAATATAATTTAAAAAAAGTATATAAAGAAAAGATAATTAATTATAAAAATAAATATATAATAAAGCCTTAGATATTATTACTAGTGTTCATGATATGAGGTGCCTGTTCTTATCGTTGGAGGACCGTGATAGTGCGGTCGTCAAATCGTAGGTCAATTTCCGCGTCGATCTTTATTCCGTGTCCGTGAATTTTGCATTGTCTTCCGCCGCCCGTTAGCTCATCGTTCTTCGAGATTCCTGTAGATTGGAATTATTACCGCTATGCAATAAGAATTCTGGACTTCAAATCATGAATCTTTCTAAAATTTTGCTTTCTTAGGATCGAAATCTATCCCGTATTTTCGTGCTTGCTTCGAAGAATCAAACCGCGGTCGGTGCAGATGGTCCTGTGTGGCAACAGGCATCTCCTGAGACCCAACTATTTTAATGCGCAGAAGATTAAATATGCCAGTGGAGGCAGGCCCTACAGCACTCTGCGTCATTTCGAGGCTGAGGCGGGGTTGTGAGAGCGCTGTGAATCTCCGACACCGACACGGACTCTCCGACATTTGTGACCGGAGTCAAGAGGACCGTGGTCGTCTACTCCTCGTGCTTTGGCGTCTTCTCCTATCTGTAATCCTTCTGCTTCCCATTTCTTTATAGACCCCCTCTTTGGAGCTTTCTTCTCGGATCCAAAACGCTTCTACCTCGTGTAAGATAGAACAACAAGAAGGGAAAGATCTCTCTTTGGAGGAAATCCGCACGTTCCGTTAGACGGTTTCGGTAGATCTTCGTCTCTGCACAGCGTTCAATCTTGGATCCTGGGAGTTGCTTCTTCTTCTTGTGGTAATTTCTTTTGCACTTCTTTAGAATCTATCTTGGAAGCCTTCTTTTGGCCTCAAGTGTTCCGGTGCGGATGAAACACAAGGAAACGGATAAACCCATCTCTTTTTTCTTCCTTTGAGAAATCTCCCATTAAAAATCTCGCCTTGGAGCTTTCTCGTTGGATTTCTATCAAACCCTCCTTTCAAGATCTTGGACAGAGCGCTCACTCTACTGTTTTCTCGTGTGGCTTACAGAAAATGGTGCGATGGCGGCTGGCGGCGACGGCACTGTTAGCTATTTTCCTCACGGTTCTGAAAGGCGGCGCCTTTGTCGTGGCGGAAGAGGAGCAGACGTGCTCCGGGATAGTGCCTATGAAGAACCGGGGGGAGGTGGTGTCGATCACTGACTTCGGAGGGGTCGGGGACGGGCGGACGCTCAACACGGCGGCCTTCAAGAGCGCCGTCTTCCACATTGAGCAACGGAAAGTGCCGGAGGGATCCCTTCTCTACATCCCTGCTGGAGTCTGGCTCACCGAAGCCTTCAACCTGACCAGCCACATGACGCTCTTCCTCGCTGAGGGCGCCGTCATCAAGGCCACCCAGGTTCTACTCCCATTTCCTCCTCGAGAATATGTCCCTTTTTTCGAGGAGAAGAATAAAAACCGCCTATTTACCTATTCTTTATCAGAAACGGATAGATTTGTTATTGGTTGAAGCATAATAGAATAAAAAAATGTTCCTTTGATTTGTGAAATTTGCTGCATGAATATGTTGGATCGAATTTGTATATCGTTCAGCTGAACTCAGATGTTTAACCTTGCTTGCTGGACGTTAGTCGTAGAGCTTGGCTGGTGATGCTTCATCTTTTCTCATTTTAGTTATTGGTTGTGGCAGGACACAGTGAATTGGCCACTGATTCATCCTTTACCATCTTATGGAAGAGGACGAGAGTTACCAGGTGGCAGGTATATGAGTTTGATTCATGGCAATGGACTTCAGGATGTTACCATAACAGGTGTGTTTTTGGATTCAATGCTTTTAATGTATGTTGCAATTGTCACTATCGGAAGAACATGTATCTGCCATATGTTGGTCTAAATCTGTAGTTGCACTATGTAGAAAATAAAGTAACTTTGGAGTCAAACAGTACAATTTTCTTAGCTTGACTATTCCAAAGGCAGCAGCATAAGATCTAACAAACTGCTGTGTGCAAAAATGGCTTCTTTAGGCTGAACAAGCTACTGAAATTGTACAACAAGTTTTTTCTGATTATAGCTCAATAAGCTACTGAAATGTGGTGTAATGACCAAGTTTAGGTTGAAATAGCTCTCGCCATCGGCAAAGAAAATTCAAAGCTCCAATATGCCTGAGTGATGCAGGAAAAAGAGGGTTCGCAAATTGTTTGATGCAAAATTGTTCCGAGTTAGAGAAGTTCATTAGTCTGTGAATTAACAGGAACTGATTGTTCTTATTTCATTTTTTTGCCCCCTTGACTGCAACATTATACAAGGGAAATCTGCCTCCTGCCTTCTTTTATTTGTTACTTTTCTCAGAATGCACTTGTTCAGTAGATTAACCGAAATTTTATATACAACAGTTGATATCTCAGCCAAGCTTTTTTTGCTACAGGTGAGAATGGAACAATTGATGGGCAAGGTGATGTGTGGTGGAATATGTGGAGACAGAAAACTCTACCTTTTACTAGGCCGAATCTGCTGGAACTCATGCACTCTACAGATATCATCATCTCTAATGTGGTCTTCCGGGACTCACCTTTCTGGAACATTCACCCTGTCTATTGCAGGTTAAGAAAAACAACCTTATGTAGTGTTGTTTTCTTTCTTTAAGAGTACATTATTCTAGTTCTATCAATAGTATGTAGGGGTATTTGAGCACTGCTTCATGTCACTGCTAAGTCGTGACTTAAGATGTGAGTGGAGAATATGGGTGTGGCACACATCCTAGGGAAAGAGGAGGTGGGGTCAAGGATGCATGCCACATCTTCCACATCTTCCATTCGTGGTGCATGACCTCATGACTCATGATTTAATTAAGTAAATGGAGCATTTTTTGTTACCTTGAGTATCATCCTTGTTGAAATATCATTTATCATTTTTAATCATTATACACAAGTAGATACCCTAAATGTATATATACGTTGTAACATGAAGAACATTCTTCCTCCATGTTAGGTTCACAACCCCCTTGGCACTATCATATCAATGCTTTTTGTGATTGCAAATTTCATGAAAATTTATGCAAAGCTTTACATACATAGCGGAAGAACAAAAAACAAAAATTACAGAATTTTTCATAGAAAAGAAGGTTTTATCGTCGTACGAAGATTAGTGCGCAAAAAACCTACGAAACCGAAAAACCACGTGTGTTAAGGGATGTGTGTTACATAGGGAGATCGTATATCCCTGAAAACCTACAGATCTGTGGGAGAGGATAAAGGAGGTCAACTATCCTCCTCTCTATCGGTGATTCACACAGCATGAGTTGTGAATACGTTCTTCAAATCGTTGCACAGATCTCCCCATCGTGAGCACCACACAATCAAGAAGGGGTCGGTGCCTTTTTACTGTCCACACGCCCTTAATAGGGGCTGCTAGCTAAGGAGGAGAGGGGGAGAGGAGAATAGGAAGTGGCAGTCAAAAGGGGTATAGTCTATGGCCCTTTGGTTCCCTCCTATTTATAAAGGTCCCTATAAACTTACCTTAATGGATCTTGTCCTATTGGGTATTGGATCTTCATCCAACTACCCAAGTCACTTAGATTAATGGATCTCTACCAAATAATCTCTTATTTGCTCTTATTGGATCTCATCCATAGGATCCAATAATTCATGGGCTAACTGGATATCCTATAAGATAGGGGCTCCGGCGGATATCTCATATATGAACATCTACTCATCGCAACACCTACCATATGTGTGTGACCCTCTAGGCCCAATATCGAACTGGCCGTGAGTCATACCTGTCAAAATTCCTTCCGACTCAGTGAATTATTATCTCCATATCGACTCATCGATTGAGGACGTATTAGGCCACTACACCACAGTCCCCAAACGATACAAGGGAATTCAATCCATTGGACCTGTCAATCGTCGGTTACCATGTATCTATAGTCTCTTATCCATCTAATATCTCATAGACCGTATTCCGACCATGGTGCTGTCAGGCTTATACGATTTCTACTCAAGTCTCGCTCTAATCGGATTCTCTCGAAGAACTCTTTATCTCTCAATCCGAATGACCCTGGCCAAAGATTTGTCTGAGCAAGAACACATGGAGTATTCCTCTCATGACACTAAGAGAGGATGATCCTCTATCGACACTCAATTGCTCTCGTAAGGTTGGCTGCCACTCTCGATTACCGGTTGTGCTAGATCTGAAAATTTCAGACCTATAAGTCCAGTATCAAAGAGTGGAGTACTCATACAGGACATTCTTGGTGTCTCAAGTCTAAGGACCAGATACACCACTGGGACAATGGAATCGTTGTCTAACAATGAGGTATCATCAATCATCCAACATTCTATGAGCGGATCAATCAATGAACTCATTCTATAATGAGCACCTGTGCGGTATCCCTAGTATCCCTACACGAGTAACTATGAGGCCAGCTGCCTCTATCATATGGACGGGTATACAACACATCAATCTATCCGATCATCTCGATGTCCCTCTCGAGTGACACATGACTGGGATTATTTAGGATCTGTGTTTAAAGGCGAATCGGTCTCATTTTTATGATTTCATCACGATCTGATTTCCACTGCTCAGATCCTAGACATTACAATATATATGTAACGGGTAATATAAAGTGAAAAAAATGTCAAATAAATAATGAGCAAAAAAGTGTGTATCATGTCACACGTGTCATCACTCACGTGATTGTCTTGTAGGGCACCTATGACTAGCACAAGCAACCTTGCATGTGGTTACACTGAAATTGTTCGAACATGAGTACATGATGTTGAGGTTCAACAAGCTGCAAGAAAGCATATACTTAATAGTAATAATTGAGGTTACAATTGAGGATGATAACGTTGTTGGATATTCTTTTTTGGTTGATTAATAGGCATAGAGCTAGGATGTTGCACACATTCTTCCTTTTTATTCTACAGAACATATTTTCTTTTGTGATTGTTATTTAAAATTGAAAGAAGGTTGGAACTCTTATCATTGCAGCAATGTGGTGGTGAAAAATGTGACTATCCTGGCTCCATATGATTCTCCTAATACCGACGGAGTGGATCCAGGTATGTTATCTTGGCTCATCCTTTATTCCACTAATGTCATGAGTGAAAAGGACTATTGATCAAGCTACTTTTATTTGCAGTACTCGTGCCTTTATTTTCATGTCCATTGCCAAGATCAGTGATCATAAACATCAGGCTCATTGGCTTGTGCAAGCCTTAAAACCATCATATTATTGATTTTCTTCTATCCTGCAGATTCAAGCTTGAATGTTTGTATCGAGGACTGTTACATTTCAACAGGGGATGATTTGGTGGCTGTGAAGAGTGGTTGGGATGAGTACGGCATTGCTTATGCTCGTCCTAGCTCTGGAATAATCGTCCGGCGATTAACAGGTTCCAGCCCCTTTGCTGGCTTCGCTGTAGGGAGTGAAACTTCCGGTGGAATAGAGAACATCTTGGCTGAGAACTTAAATATATTCAAGACCGGTGTTGGGATCCACATAAAGACCAATTCTGGCAGAGGAGGATTCATAAAAAACATAACTATCTCAGATGTTAATCTGAGCAATGTTCGCAAGGGACTGAGGATCGCGGGGAATGTAGGAGACCACCCCGATGACAGATACGACCCGAATGCTCTTCCTGTTGTCGATGGATTGACAATCAAAAATGTGTGGGGCGTGCGCATCCAGCAACCTGGTTCAATACAGGGTATCAAGAACTCTCCCTTCACTCAAATTCATCTTTCGAATGTAAAGCTCGATGTGGCTTCGCCACGGGGAGTAGCATGGGCATGTGCCGATGTGAGTGGCGGTGCTCTCGACGTTCAGCCATCGCCTTGCGCAGAGCTGACCATCACAAACGGCATGAGCTTTCGTAGTGGTGCTCTCTGATGTTCATTTGTTTAGGGAGGTTACATTTGCTTTACCTATTCAGCAAACGTGAGTAAAAGATTGTAGCTTCTATGTTCAATGACATTCATGTTTTCAGTGTTTCTTTAATGTTGGGAAACCAAACTATTCTAAGCCACTGATGTCTGGTTAGGATCATGGTCTTCAGGCAATAAAACGTTTTGAAGAATCTGGTGGGCACAATTCCTCACCCTGTCACTTATTCGGTACAGCCTTGATAGATATGTTCATGAACAGCTTCGCTAACCGATTGAAAGCTGCAGATCGAGCAAACAGGTCAATTGGGTAGAAGAAGAATAATGTTCTTGTCAAATCAGGGCCCTCGTCGTGATCACACGCCTGTCCTACATAGATATGTAAGTCGAATACAAATGGGGCCATGGAGCAGCTCACCTGTCGAAGAAGAAGCCTCCGTGACAACGAGAAGCATGTAGCGGAATGTCCGCAGCATCCTTATGCAGGCCAGCGTTGTCTTGACTTTTTGTCTCGAGGTGTTGTCCCCATGGAGAGGCGGTGACCTCGACAAGCTTGGCCAGTGACTCAGTGCAGTTGCGTGCATGAATGCATCAATATGCATTCCAAAATATGCACTCCAAATCCAAAGGGTAATGCCAGAAATCCACTTCAATGAACTGAAATCGGCAAAAGCACTGTGATCCTACATTCACATTGCAACTGCAATAGTACACCACTGTTCTTGTGCTACAGCCATGAAGATTTACAGGAGGAACTAAGTAGGACCGTCGAGGAACTTGATAAGCTAAAAGGATTACAGAGAAAGGAAAGACGAATCACAAAAGAGGATGATACACGAGTTTTAGATGTCATAGGCAGTACTGAAGTAGCACCTAGTGACATTCCTACACAAGATCTGCAAGACCTTGCTGTTCGACAGGCTGACGAAGCGTGGTGTCTTGAACTGGTTCATGGCAGCCCCAAGTCCGAGGAAATGCTCCAAGATCCTCTCGAATGTTTTCTTGCGTACAACACGAAGCTCGAGAGGTCCAATGGTGCCAACCTTTCTAGATCCGATGTAGCCAGCATCGACAAAGGCGAGGTCTAAGCAATTGCAGCAGCTGCGAAGAACCTCCTCAGTTGTATCAGAGCTCAACTCCCAGAAGATTACGTAATGTCCAGGCTCCGTTGAAGTGTCAACATGGCTCGTGAAATCCACAACCTCGAGCTTTTCCGCGGCCAAGAGCTTCGCTGCTTCTTCGACAGCCAACTGCAGGTCTTTCTCGGTATTCTTGTCGATATTGATGCTCAGCACCAGGCTTCTCCTGCATACGAATTGAAGCTCGGGTGTAGAGTTGTGAAAGCCAGCTACCCTAACCACATCTCCCAACCTATACCGATACAAACCTGCCACAGGATGCTTATTGATCAGTGCTAAATACCATACCAAAAGTATGAAATGCAAACTTTCAGCCTGCTTTAAAGAAAGAAATTACAGGAGTCAAACTATATTAGTAAATGTTGTGATCTGTTTACTTTATTGTGTATTGCAATTTTCAGCCTGCTTTATATTAACCTATCATCTGTTATACCATTCAAACATATATATCCAAGAAGAAGACAGATCGACCAAGAAGAAGACCTATCATCTGTAAGTCATAGCAAGTCAGTATCATGAGATAAAGCTGCAGAGCTGAGTGTAATCTAACCTTGTTACCAAAATTCAAGTTTCAAAATGGTTTTTCTATATGGATCAGACTGTATATGTTGTTTCTACCCAAGCTCAGATTGGTGAGAGCAACCTTTTTTTGTGCAGAATCCCAAAAAAAAAGCAAGAACAAACAGTCCATTTGGTGAGATTGATAGCTTAAAGACTCACAATTTGCATTATCTGGAGACAATTAACAACCGACAGCCAGCCGACTGAGTTTAAACAAACAGTCAGAAACTAAACTTGATAATATCTACACAATCTATGTCTGACCTTAAACAGCAACAAGTAAGAGAAAATGGACTTATGAGCAGGCATTGAAGTAAAATCAGTACTTTTTTCTCAAAATTACTGAGCAGGCATCACTTAGATGTCTGCCTTTCCTCATATCATCATCTCATTGGCCAAGATTCCTTTGTGTTTAATGGTACACATGGTCTAAAGGGAACAAAATGTCAGAAGAAATTGACTCATCAGTGCAAACACACTCATTTCTTTGAAGGTATTTAACAGACAATAATTACATAAAAGAAGATATTGTTGTTTTATCAACCAATTGACTCCAAAAAACAGCTCATCTTTTGTTTGCACTGGTCTTTCTTTTCTTCAAAAGTTTGGTATCATGTCACTGGTATTTTCTTAAATATAAATTTCAGATTACATCACAAAAAGGGCACATCATAGGAAATGAACAAGAAAATAGGTAAATGAGAAAAGTATAACATGGTAGTACCTGCAAAATTGGTAACAATAATTTCATACTCCTTGCCAACTTCAACTTCAGTCAGGCCAACTGGCTCAGATTCTATATAGTGAATGGTGGAGGCAATATTCTCCAGCTCCTGCTCCTCAGGTTTCTCTAAAGGGATGAACTCGAAGTAGCCAATGTTAGGAAGCACTGCAAAGGTTGCCAACTCAGGAATTAAACTAGGATTTACGTTAGCACCGATCCATCCTTCTGAAGATCCATAGTCAGCACTCATGAGGGGTAGGCTTCCGGTATAATGCCTTAATTTCTTCAAGTACGGTTCCATAGATCCGGTCATAATGCCATAGACATACTTGGCATTGGGCCAAAGCTCTGGAATCACGCCATACCAGTTGCTTAATCTCACACACTTGTTGTATATAGAGTCTGCTAGGCTGGGATTGGGGATTAAAAGCTTAGAAACAGCTGAACGTATAGATGGGACAGTGATTCTGCTGGAGAGAACTCCTTCTCTAATATCCATGCACAGCTCCTCCCACACCTGCTCAAGTGTTCGAAAAGCATGAACTATACTGTGAGCAAAGGTGGAAGATATGATCTGCACTTCGTTTGAGTAGATCAGCCCGCAAAGGAGGTGGCAATATAAGGACTGCCGGAAATCTGGACCAAATATAACTTCATCAGGACTAGTGCATTGAGACTGGATATCCTTCATAGTGCGCTTGAATTGTTCACTTCTGTACACATTGGTTGTAGCTGTTGTCGCAATAAGGCCTCCTTTAGTTTTTACCTGCCTGCTGCTATAGATGAACTGCAGAGCTTTTCCATCTCCGATTGGATATTCTCTGCAAATATAACATTCGATCAAGACGATATGTCATCAAGTAAAGTTCAGCTTGCATACTAAAGTAAGCAAAAAGAAGAACACATGACATCAACTAGGCCATTCCTGAACTCAAATGTTTGAAATTTATATTAGCAGTGGTGATGTTCCTAGGAAATCAAGGAAAATGCAACTCTGTAAAGAGATCAGACGCAAAACAAAGTGCAATCAGAAGAAGTGATCCTTGATGGGTTCAAGCCCCCCGTACCGGTTTCTGAATGCAAATGAAGTCCTATATATCTGCATTGTGGACTGAACTAGCTCATCATTGAATGGTAGAAACTTGGGTTTGCCTTGTGTGGTACCAGAACTGTGGCAAGAAAAGCAAAATTAAGCTTCTCAAAATTGAGCAAGACCAGAGAACCTTGGAAGGCCACATGAAAAAGATGAATGAGTCGAAAAGCTCCACCTGAGTGAAATTGAAGTTATAGGCTTCCCCGTGAGAACAGAAGTATCACCATCGGCTATCCTCTGAATATAAGGCTCCAGATCTCTATGAGTGACCAAAGGGACGCAAGCTCTGAAGCTCTCCGGGTCAGTTCTTCCTCCGAGGCCTAAGTTCCGCAAGTACTCTGCTTCACCATTTTGCTCCAGAATCTTTCGGAGAGACTCTGTCTGGAGCCGTCCAGCATCGTTCGTCAACGCTTCAAATTCCTCTATAACGCTCTCGAGGCTAAAAACTCTCATCTTCTCGGATGATACAGAGGGAAACCTCCAAACCAGCTACCACAAGTGAGAAAAAATCATGTCAAAAGGAGGAATGACACCATTTGAACAGAGTTTACAGACCAAAGAGCAGCAATACATCAAAAACTTTAAGTGACTCGTACGAGATCAGAGACTTCGACTATTTTCGATTAGACATGAAATAAAAGTGATACAGAAGCAAAAGAATCAGATTGTAGAAAGGCAATTCAACGTTCCAAAGACAAACTCCAAGTACCGGGGGCGATGGCGTGTGAGGTAGAAATCCATACAAATGAATCCATAAAAATGTCGAAGAAAACATCAGAAAAGTACAATTCCCGTACAGAAAGAGACAAAAACGGAAGAAAAAAGCATGCTGTGCGCAAAAATATGAACAAAGAACAGAACTTGATAGAAAGCAAATAAGGAAAAAGGCAAACCGGGCATTACCTATCTTTCTTAAACCGAATAAAAGGGTCTCTGAATAATAATAGAAAGGAAAAGGACCACAACAACATCAAAACGCATTCAAGCAACCACCACCTTCGAATCAAGAAATCGCATCAAAAATCAAACTTGCGACCAGTGACCCAAGGACTCTTCGATGAACAGGTACAAAAATCCATCAAAGGTCGCGCCTTTGGACACCTACCGACGAAACTGCTCGATCTAATAAGAAATCCAGCCACAAGAAATCGCCCCCTCGCCTGTTTACCCACCCTCTCCGTCGCTTCCGATCTCAGATCGAAGTACGAATATATAATGACTCGCGCGACCCCTCGATACCCGAGGCATCGATTCCTTTCGGAAGAAGGGCCAAGCGGAAGAAACCAAGCGAAAGTAATATTATACAAGCATCAATCTCTCACCTTTCTCTCTACCCCGCGAGCGAACCGTGATCAAGAGAGGTGCAAGCACGGCTTTCTTCTCTTCCTTTCTGCCCTTACAGGCCTTGGCCTGTTGCGTCAACCGTTGCTCCGGTGGGAGACGCAAACCTTCGTATTTGTAGTGCGTGCCAAGCCCTTTGCATACGTGTTTTAATAGAAATATCCTCCAAAAAAAAAAAAATATATATATATATATATATATATATATATATTCAAATTTAGTTAAGGAATGCAACACGACACTGACATAATTTTTATATGATGTATCGGATTTACTTCTTAAAGACTAAGAATTTAAAATTTTATTATATGAATTTTATGCATAAATATTGTTATATGATGATATAAATATTTTCTGAATTATATTTAAAAATCCTTAAAATGTGCATCAATAAATTTAGATATTATTTTTTAAAATTTATTATATTTCAAGATGGACGAAAATAAAAGTTGATAGGATTGATCCTTACGTGATGTGAGGTTGATATTTTTCTAGTTCCAAAGGATTAATTACATATTAGGTTTTTTGACGTAAGGTTGACTTATTCTATCTATCTTTAATTTATTATTGAACACGTATGGTATTTCTATTAGCAAAGACGATGACATAAGTAAAAATAAGATTAAATATTATATTTTTGTAAGTATAAAGATCTTAATATATTTTTAAAATATATAACGATAAAAATATTAATGATAACTAATTATAGAAAGTAATATATAATTAGTTCAGTCCCAAACGATAGGACAATACAAAATAATTAGAAAAAAAAAGTACCCATGAATTATTTTAGTGGGGCTCTCTTTTCTTATCTCAAAATTGCACTTAGAAGAAGACTTCTTGGCATCACAGCAAGTGAGGGAATATTAAATGAGAGAGAGAGAGGGAGAGAGAGAAAGAGAGGGAGGAAGATTCCACTTGGTGCTTTGAATGAGATGAGCACTGCGAGCATTAGGGTGCTTCCATTAGCAACAATAATAATACAGCCATTTGTGACCCACAAACACACTACTTTTCCTCGAGTAAATGAGGAGGACGACAACGATAACCCTTGACTTGTGTCGTCTACGTCGATCACGGGGGAGCAGCAACTTAATCTGCTGTAGATCGTACGCATGCAATCCGACCAAAACTATTCCTCTTGTCCTAATGACAGTATTCTACTGGACTCCTATACTTACGCTTATGGTTCCAATTAAGTATACATTAATGCTTCTGATCCACAGGACATTTCCATATGATAAGCTGAGCTCGTAGAAGATTTGCACCCTAATTAGTTAGGTCAAGGATACAAAGACCCCATTCCACATGACAACTTTGATGTCCCATTTTTCTATTGGATTGGTGCACCTCATGTGCTAGTGGATTAGTTCCACCCAAAGCAATTGGATGATTAATATAATATGTACTTGCCATAGATATATGTTGGTATTATAAAGATATTAGGCATGATAATAGAACCTTTATCGTCTTTCAAATCGCATGATCTTATCTTTTTTTATTATTATTAGTTAAGATGTGACATGTTACGTTTAGCTCAAATCATTTTGTCCTTCGACTTAAAAATCTCGATCGATAATTCGGATTGCCGAATTATTAAAAATTATAATATGAAAAATTAAGAGAGCTAAGAAAGGAACAAATGCACTCTCCATAAAAGATAGATAATGTCACCATACTAGTTGGAGTGTAGGGACCGATCGGATAAGAGTGGGGACTGATAACATCAGCCACTGAAAAGGTTAACCTTTTGCCGGCAGATGACATGGAAAACATTAGTGTAAGATTCTCATTAGGGTCACCCAACACTATAGATAGACTTTGGTCCCTTTGGCCAACCATCGGACATGAAGCTAACATGGTAATAATGCCACATGAGTGTTCCTTGCGCACACTGCATTCCATACGATTGGCCTATTCTTCTGTCCTTGCACCTCACGGTGTGTATAATATTTGCTTACTCCTATGCTTGTCATCTTCTTCTTCGTTTGCTTGTTCACGATAAGATCCTTATAATGTTTATTCGTTGAATATGAGAATATCTTACATGATAGTTAATGTTAGTGCAACAGTAGAAAGATAGATACGTGAGATCAGATGAGAAAATTATTCAAGATTTTATTAAATGAAATAAATAGATAAAATATAAGAAAAATAAAATTTCTTATATTTTGATGTTCTATAAAATCTTAAATAAATAGATAATTTCATAATTATGACATGTAAGTGTCATGCATACTATATTTGATATAATAAAAAATATATATATGATCATTTGTACAGCAGAAAGATGGATGAATCTCTACCGGTACATCAAGATGGATGATTGATGGAGAAGTCTGTGCATCAAAATGGATGATAGGGGGATGAATCTGGAGGTGAACAAGGACGAGGACAGCCCAACTTTACATTCCATGTATGTGGAGCAAAACATTGCATTCGTTGTATATGGATATGATTCAGAGAGTACTGGTGGAACAAACAGCTTCAAGTGTATCCCAAAGGATTCCAACAATAATGGGGTCGATTCTCATATGAAATCATGTGTTCGATGTAAACAATTCTTTATAATTGTTTGGATATATCTGAGTCTATTTTTCTCATGAAAAGCTTTCACTTGTCCACAAGCACATATTTGTCCATAACGCTCATCCTATGACATGTATGCAACTCTCTCTCTCTCTCTCTCTCTCTCTCTCTCTCTCTAATGGTTAATAAAATTGTGGCTTTCATATTAACTATAAGTTGAAACTTACAAGTTCTTTCCACAAATATATTTAATATTCTTGTTTTTATGAGGTGGGTTTTGATAATATTTATTATGTATGAGTGAAAAAACAAATAAATTGCATTTTTAGGAGAGATTTGGATATCATATTTATCCAAAAAATAAGTATCAAAAAATAATTATCATGAACTCCTAAAATAAATATTGGATGCTCACATACTTACGAAGAAGACACATATAGTCTGGTTGAGGAATCAATCACGGTCCATTGCATTCATCGTAGTGCAAGTCTTGTGATTGGTGCCACATCCTCGTTCGTGACCCAAGTCATGGCTTAAGCCGCGGTGAAAAGGAGAGTTTGGAAAGACTCGAGTGAAGGGAGTGATGGTGAAGAGGAGACGAGAAGGACAAACATGGCGCCGACGGTATGGTCATGTGAATCACAACTCCGACGAGCACTTAAAATCTTTCTTATCTTAATCAAAGTTTCATGTAAGCTAACCAAATATATCCATCAACACATGAATGAAGCCGAATTAATAGGAAACACGAGCCGTCGAGCAAGTCATGAACTTTAAGACATGCCTATAAGTCCATGCATACGTATTGCCAATTGCCAATTGTTTCATGCATGCACGAAGACAAAGTTTAAGCATACGTATTGATCGTTGGAAAATCGACGAGTTAATTAATAATATGTGATATTATATCATATTTGGCAAATGGATAAGTTAAAGACTCGCATACTACCTTTCTTTGCTACTCCCATTTCCTAATGCATGTCGTGAGCCGTACTCAATCAACTACTCAACTGCTCCCCAAGTTAATTAAACCTACTCCGATCATTAAATATTGTTGTTATCGGATGTCACCTTTGAATGCGATCGCTCCGATACACAAGTCAGATTTTCGAAGTAGATTAAACTAGTAGCACGATCGATCTAAAAAATTATCGTTCGTATAATATTTTTAATCGGTTCTATCCGATCACTTACGATTAGAAAAATATTATACTCATCAAATCCATCGATTAAGATTGTTACATGAGCTACAAATGTTGGAAAAGAAATCAATTAAAATGTTTCTTTCATAAAAAAATATTTTCTTTTATACAAAGGTAAGATCTATGACACTTCAACTCCTCCTACTTTGTCCTATGTAGAAGAGAGAGATGATTGCGGGCGACATCAAACATAATTAATTGGCGTTTGAGAACAGCTTATCGATGAGTTGTTTGTTTAATAGCATTAGTTTGACACAATGGCTTGTGGATGATTCCATGTGTCGCTACAAGACATTTGTGCATCCCAATTGCGACAAGCTAATGAAATAGTTGTATGACATCATAGTGCCTCCTCTCTCATTGTCCTCCCAAACTCATCGCCATTAATAGTCCAATACGATTTAAAGCTCCTGACGATAAGCATAACATAACATGGCGAGTTGCACATTCCTCGTTAAAATATGTCATAGCTGACGTTCTTCACAGTGAAGATCGATTTGGCGGCTTGACGACCATGAGAAGATGGTCACATTTGTGTTACCCTCCTTTATTGTAGTTGAAGAGAGCATTATAATTTCTATTGAACTTTACCTTCTAGTAATTTTTTCTTTCTTATAAGCGGATATTTTTCTTCTTTACTTTTTGATATGACCAATAATACCTTTTCAATTAATCACTCATCATATATATATATATAATATAATACTAAATACTATCAACTCTAAAGCCCAATATTATATGTTAATCGTCTACGTGGAAAGAGTGAAGACCGACCAAGTTTTAAGCCCAAGTTCCATTAATCATTATATCTTATAATGTTTCTATAGCGAGATCTTATTGGGATATCGAATATAATTGGACCACTAATGCCATTGATTTTACATCTTCTAATTCCAAGTAGAAAAAGCTTGACGAATGAATTAGTATGACAATGAAGTTTGAGATCATAATAATATCAAATTTTCTAACAACTTTTTAGCATATATTTTGATTTGGATTCATGTTTGATTACTTTTTATCATAAGAATATGATTCATGTTTGATTTGAGTCCGTAAACAATACTTTTATTAGTACGAGACTCAAGAAAAGATCGATTTGTCCGACGTTTTTGAACGGAGAAGGTTGCTTTCGTGATTCCATTCGTGCGAATTACTTGTAATATTCTATCACATCCAGCGTTGTGGTTTGTCGAGTCCCGTTACACAAAACGATAACTTTCGTCGACATAAACTCTCCGATCGACTCGCTTCACTTTTGGATCAGTGAGGGTTAAGAAGCATAACATCAAGCAGAGGAGAAGGAGAGAAAAGAAAGGTAGCATAGAGTGGGTTGCAAGGCTGGATTAGCACCGGCACAAAAATTGGTGCCTCCTCAGCTCACCAATGTGTTCTTCCTCTTTTGCTGCTCGACTGCTAATTCGTCCACGTACCTGATGAGGTCTTTGTCGTGACACACAAGTCATTTGCGATACAGATGCCATCCACCAAATCCAGTGGATTTAGAATATCCATTCAGGAAAAGCAACATGTTTTTTTGCCTCCAAAGGTGCTTCTGATGTGACATGAAGGAGGTGGTGGGAAGCTACCCACAGAATCAAAAAGGTGGGATGGAGTTGGGAATCGGTGAATGCATTGTTGTTTAAGAGAACACAAGTGGAGGCCACCAATAGATCACGTGATGGGATCAAGAAAATAATTAATTGGCCCAAAGGATTCAATACATTTATGGGAAAAGAGGGTGAGGACAAGCATCCATCGAATTGGTATCTTTTAGGGCCGAATAGGCCCATGGGCCGTTCATATCCGGCCCAATAAGAGGACAAGCGTCTCTTCTATTTGCTCGATTTCGGTCCAATGTAAGATGATATGGTAGATCGTAGGTTGGGAATGACCCGGTCCGGGCGTGCCGGTTCGAATGCGGGTCTCTTGGGCCCCGCGGAGCGCGGGGGACCACAACGTCGATGGTTAGTTACCGATGCGCCGACCGATAAAAGCCCGAAGCTTTCCGCCCTCTCCTACCGGGGAAGCGATTCGACTCATCTCGTGTCCGCCGGATCTCTCTCCTCCTCGTCTCTGATCCACCCAGAGAGAGAGAGAGAGAGAGAGAGATCGGGGCTGTTACTCGCTTTTTATTGATCATTCACGAAGCAGAGGGAGATCGCGGCGGAGATGGCGGCGATCCCTAGAACTTTGGTGGCCATTATGGTTCTCGCCTTCGCGATCGTTCTCCCGGCCGTCCAGGCGCAGGCTCCCGCCCCCTCGCCTACCAGCGACGGTGATTTGATCTTTCTTTTCTTTTGTTATTGTGTGTTCGATCATCTTATAAGCCAAAGATCGGACCTTTTTGCTCTGATTTGTGCTAAACGCGTTCCCTTTCCCATTCGGATTCTGGTGATGGTTCTTCCTGCAGATTTCCGTTGTTCTTTTGCACATATAAAATTACATCTTTAAAATAGAACACTTGAACATAGTGTTGAATCCTGTGAACATTTTAGTGACAATGCCAAGGTTCTTTTCTTATTGTCATCATATCAAGATCTCCTACTGCAAGTGCATAGTTGATTGCATGTAGGAGCCAGATAATTTCTTGTTTACGAGAAGCAGAAATATTGTTAGATCTACACGATGGATTCATATACAGTTTCCTTTTATTTTTGGGCAGGGACATCGATTGACCAGGGGATTGCTTATTTGCTAATGCTGGTGGCCCTGGTCCTGACCTACCTCATCCACCCCTCGGATGCCTTCTCCCCCCACGAGCTCTTCTAAGCCTTTGGGTAGCTCTTTCATGTTTGTGAGGGAGGGAGGGAGGAGTTGTTTTGTTGGTTGTATTTAAGATTTGGACTCTTTCAACAGAATTATCTTGTTAATTTATCCTAAATATTCTTGTTTCTCATGTTGTTGATGCTTTTTTTATGAGTTTTTCTTAAGCAGCATGTTTTACATTGGATGACCTGTCCACAAGGCAAATGTTTCATCAATATTCACTTTTTCTTATATTCTATGTATTATCAGTAACTGCAAGATTACAAGAGCTCTCTGTATGGAACAACAACAAATAAAATAAAAAAATTTAATTACTTGAGATCGGTTACATAAATTTTTTATAGTGTTATTCATATATATATATATATATATATATATAATGTTATAAGTTTAAAATATTTAAATATTTATTTATAAATTTTATTAAAAAAAATTTTATCTTTTTTTCTCGCATCACTAATATTAATAATTTTATATTTTCACTTTCATCTTCGTACTTATATCAACTTATCTTATCTTCTTTCGAAACGATTCACGAATAAAAATATTTTTTTCTCCATGATACAAAAACTCTTTATATCTAAGATATATATATTTTTCATCTTTCTATCTAAGATATAAAATTATTTTTTTTCATCTAAAATATATTTTCGGATTGAACAAAGAAAATGACATCTCCATGGTGCCTTATTACATATGGTACATGAAATTTTAATTATAAAAAACTGTTATATCAACAAAAGGCTATCCTTAAATCATAGTGATTTTGAAATCACCCATTTAGTGCAACAACTATCTTTATACTAATTATTTTGACCTTGAAATCAATAGAGAGTTTTGAAGCTAATCCTCTATGCAGCATATCACTTACCTGTCACATACTTAAAACATTAATATTTACAAAACAAAAAATCTTTGCCCATAAAAAAAATATATCAGATTTTTAAAACACACATCACAGATCATAATATGTTGTAATTACCAATACCATAATAGGTTGCTTTAGGGCAAAGAGATAAATAGCTTCATTCCAGTTGGCATAATTTAGTGCATGCATTTTACATTACTTATATTACAGTTTCTACTCATAACTATCTGGCTATATATTCATGACTACCTTTCCTCAAAACAAAGGAACAAAATCCAAGGAATAATCTTATGGTTCTGATATTAAACCTATGGCAACAATCAAATACAACCATCTGAAATCGTTGTTCCGGATAGCTTGATAAAGCTTTCTTTTCTCGTCTTTGAAAGGTTAAATGACATAGATATAGGTTATTTCATTCCTACAAACAACAGACACATTTGATAGGGTCCCCGATAACCTTCCACCTTTTCTGGTTCTAACCCATTGCATACTTCTGCGTCCAGCTCCTTGCAGTCGCCTCGTACTTGGCTCTGTCGGTCTTGTACATATGGGCAATCTCCGGAACCAATGGATCATCTGGGTTTGGATCTGTTAAAAGGGAGCAGATCGACAACAGTACCTGGCAGAAGGCACAATAAAACTCATTTTAACTAAAAAAAAGTTAAGAAAGAATGGAAAAAAGGGTTATCACTATTTTCTGTTGATGCAAATAAAACATGTTTAAACTCTGCACAAGATCTAAGTTTCTTAAACAACTCAAATGAGCTGATCACTAATTTGCCTCCAATCATGGAGGTTATTGTGGCGAACAAACTGGCCTCTAACAATGGCTACATAAAGTCGCTTTGTTTGGACACAACCATGTATCCACGACTAGATTATACTTGAGATCTCCTAGTTCCCAGGCCAAGATTACCCTGATTTTACCGATCCGGAAGAGTAAATTGAAGTAGCAAAAGAGGGGTACAGGATTGTTTAAAATGATCATCTGCTCTCTGATCTTTTGTAACTAGGAGTACAGGCAGTAATTCCTCCGATGAATTTTCCACACTGAGCAGCCAACTTGATATATAACAAACCACAAAATAAGAGAGAAAATAAACCTTGGAAATGGTTAATGCCGGACTCCATTGTTCCTTCAAAATGTCGAGACAAATGCTTCCATTGCTATTGATGTTTGGATGGAAAACCTTGGTCCTGAAAGCAACCTGCAGAACATAAACATGATAAGTTGGAAAATGGCACAAATGATTGCTGAAATTGTTGCGTAGCCAAAACAATCAATTATTACAAAAGCAGGTTGTTCAAGTTAGCAAGATACATTCTAAACTAAAACAACTGCATTAAGTGCAAAAGCACATATTAAGCCTACATTTTATGCATTAATAGCTACATCTGGTCTTTTAACTGATCTTTAATAAGATGGAATTTTTGACAAAATGATTGACGTAAATCAAACTGTGAACAATAAATGCTGAAATAGATGGAAAACTCAGGTCATGCTTAACACTTGATAAATGTAGGACTATTTATCAGGTGTGTGAATTCCTTACGAGGAACATATGAAGTGTTCTCAAATAGAATACTCTTCCTTGGGTAACAGAATTTTAAGTTTATAGCTCTATCAGAGATGTCAACAGAATCTCTAGCTTCCCAGGAACGACCACATGATATATGGGTAAACAATATGTTGAATGGAAGTATTTGTTCAAATGTACACATGACGTGGCACTAGTCATGCAATAGCATATGTTAGTGAGGAATCAGTTTTTATGAATATTATAATGTTTACAAGGTTGTTTGGTGAATGGGAGAATATTTTACTCGGTGAATTTGTAGAGAACACATGCCAAAAGATAAATAGATGGCAACATCGAGAAAGGTAAAAAGTTATCGTAATACTAAAAATTTAGTGTTTGATGATACCTTAGGTGGTTTGAATGGGTAATCCGGAGGAAAATGAATAGTAACTAGAAAGACTCCCCCTGCATATGGACTGTCAGGTGGACCCATTATCGTTGCTTGCCAATGAAACATATCTTCAGCCACTGGACCTGTAAAATGCCAATCCATGCAGAATCTTTCTATAGAATAAACAATCATAATCTGAAATCCACATACAAGTTAGGTTATACAACATTGGCGTGATTTTAAAACTTTACCCAACCACATCTACAAAGTTCACTAGCATGTCAGAGAATGTTGCATGTATAACATGTTTTTAACAACTTAAAATATAGAAAATACCTCATTAAAGAAGAAAGATGATAGGAGACGATTAAAACATATACAAGCACATTAAAATCAAATGAGAATGTATATGTTGTGACTCAATTCATTAAACAATGTTCCGAGTGTATGTTGAATGTATACGTTGTGACTCAATTCTCTTACACTGGCATGTCAGAGAATGTTGCATGTATAACATGTTTTTAACAACTTAAAATATAGAAAATGCCTCATTAAAGAAGAAAGATGATAGGAGACAGTTAAAACATATACAAGCACATTAAAATCAAATGAGAATGTATGCGTTGTGACTCGACTCAATTCATTAAACAATGTTCCGGGTGTCTGTGACAGATAGACTTAGAAAAGACATCCTTAGAGTAATTCCACCCCCTTGCACAGTACCTTCTTTTAGATTGCTCAAAATAAGGATTGAAATTTTGTACCGTACCAATGTACCGAGCTTTGCTCGATACGGTATGGTACGACATACCGAGCGATATGCCAGGACGGACCGAGCGATACGCCAAGGCGTACCAAACGAAATGCCAGGGCATACCGAGCGATATGCCTAATTTAGACGTAAAATCCTTCAAAAATACCTGAAAAATAAAAAAAAAGTTAGGATAGGGTTTTTAAGTTAGAAATAAATATATATTTAGTATAAGCAAAATCAATGTAAATTAGTTAAGAATAGTGTCAAATATACGAAACCTATTTTACCTATTTTTTCATCATAAATATGTGAAACATATAAAAGAAATATTAAATACATAATTTTGATCCAATATATATCAAATTATGATAAAATCATCATTAAATACACTAATCACACAATTAAATAGCCTGTTATTACAGACCTAAATCATACCTTAGAACTTCTTAGTCAAATATTACTCGCATCAAGATATGCATAAATCCAATAAAGCCTCTTTTTTGACATGTTTATCTATTAAGTATAAAGATGATATGCATAAATCCAATTTACGTCATCACATCTCAAATTATCATCACATTCTTGGGCAGGATAAAGCTTTATCGTAGTTTTACAGGCCCTCCATTTTGCATCACTTTTTGATTTCCTTACAATGTTTATCTATTATGTATTAAGATGATATATCTGTTCCATTTTTTCATAAAGAAGAGAGCCACATGAAGTTGTCTTTCAAGATAGGAGGGCATGTTTTCAGGAAACCCCCCATGTGCATCGAAGAGAACACAATTTGAAAATCAAACAAGTCTGTCAGTTCTGCATTTGCCATAGATACATAAGGAGTTTTAGTACAAGCCTTCCTAATCCTCCTGATTCATTTGGAAGAATATGGAAGAATCATCAATCCAAGTGCCAAAATTTTGTACTTGAAGCCTAGAAAAGAAGAGCTCACTCCATTCATCAGCATCCAAACACAGCATCAAGTATGAAAGTACATGACAACCAAACTGCATGAAAGAAATTAATAATCTTTCCAAACTTCAACAAAGCCAGTGCCAATTGGCTGCCATTAGAACGAACATTCATCCCCTATAGATGCTTGAAAAGAGATGAACTGTTTAATATATTAATAATGATAACTTGATCTACCAAGGGATAGGAGGTTGACACTATGGACAACGTGCATACTGTCAAAGTCAACCCGTATCACACATATCACCTTCGGAATTGCACGTTGAAGACCACAATTGAACAACCCACACCTTATTTCTAAGATTTGACACAGAACTCCAAGAATCATGCATAGATTAAATTACCAAAAGTGAATGCACAGTATAATTTGCCTCCTCAAACTTGCATCATATTTAATTTTCTTCCATTCTAATCGCAACTTCGGCCCGGTAACCCAAAGACCATTTCCACCAGGAGACTCAAGTTGTGTGAAGCACGCACACATAATGCAGGGCACACATCTGACTCAGTCCCCTCAATCTCAATAAAATCCTTATCATAATCTAAGCTATCCATAGTATGAGTTGGCAAAGGTAGTGTTTTTCCAGCACAACAGATGGGGAACATGAGATGTGATGAATGCACTGATGTCAAGAGAGCGCCTTCTAAACCTATACAAAGGCAGAGAAGGGAGGGCGCTGAGGAATGTGAATCACAAGATCGAAATGATGATGGATTCCAACCACAAAAAATAAGCAAGACGATAACTTCTCAGAAAGAGAACTAGCAAAACAAGATGCCTAACAAGTTAACAACCACATCAAGATCGAAATGATGACGGGAGGAAGAGAATCACACGAGTAGGAGACCGGAGACAGCGGAAACCGAGATACCTGCGCTGCAGGATGTGGGGGGATCCTTCTGGAGATCCTTGAGCTCTTTGAGGATCCGCTTGGAAGCCATCGCCGAAGACCTAGTCCTGGTCCTGATCCTGATCCCCACAAACCCCCCAAAAACCAAAGATCGATCAAAGGACCAAGAGATCGATCGAGAAGAAATATATTAGTGGATTAGAAAAATGAAAGGAAAGGCCGAACGAGGGAGAACTGAGAAGCGCTACCTACCGGCGAGGGAGTCTTGGATTCCTTCCCCCAACCTCGACTCACGGAGAGTTAGGGCTAGAGCTATTATCAGAACCTGGCTGTCCCTCGTCCATGCTATCTGGGCTGCTGGGCTTAATACACGGCGACGATCTCAAATTGGGCCGTTAATGGGCTTTAGCTCTTACAAATAAACGCACCGAATCCAGCCATCCACATCGATCGTTCCTCGCTTCTCGGTCCTCCCGCATTTCCCCTCTCCCTCCTCCCGCTCCTCCCGATCGATCCAGAGAAGGAGTCGCCTGTAGCATCCAACCGAACATGAACGACGCCGATGTCTCCAAGCAGATCCAGCAGATGGTGCGGTTCATCCGCCAGGAGGCTGAGGAGAAGGCCAACGAGATCTCCGTCGCCGCCGAGGAGGTCCCTCCTGCAAACCCCATTTGTCCTTTAGATCCCCTCGGATCTCTCGCAATTTCTTATTTTCCTATCGCAATTCCGGCTTTCGATTGTTCTCTTCTTTTTCATTTGATCGAAAGGGTCGATCGTTGTAGAATTTTATGGAACGGAATTTTTCGATGAGCTTTTACGCATTCTTTAGGTGTTGTTGATGTTATCTTCAGCGTCATTGGTATTCCTTTCGGGCTGTAATAGGTTGCAATTACGATGCATGTATATCGATAGATCATCCAGGGATTGACTATCCTCATTGTCTTCTTCCGAGGCATTAATTTCCTTTATAATACATTCTTCAATCTGTTTTTCTCGATTGGTGTTGAATGCAAGAAATATTGTATGATTGTTTTGGATTGCATTATGTGCTGATCGAAGAGACGCCTGTTAAAGGACAAGTTGTTCTCTAGATGCAGTGATGATAGATACTCTTGTTAATTGTAGCATATTAGCCATCATACCAACTTGTTTGTTTGCGAGGGCTTACATCGATTGCATGAGAAAGGAAGAACAGAGAAATGTATTTGAAGTGCTGAAGAGACTAGTTTGATTGGTTTCACATCTTTCTGGATGATGTCATACATTATAACTTTCATTTAGTTGGCTACATTGATCGTCAAGTAAAGGTGCATTAATAAAGTAGTATTTACAGTCTTGGCTGCATTAGTGGTCTCACATCCTGTCATTTGTGTGTACTTTTCACACTTGGAAATATTGCTTTTCAAAACATTGTTTCATACATTTTGGATCTTGCAGGAATTCAACATCGAGAAGTTGCAACTTGTTGAGGCTGAAAAGAAGAAGATCAGGCAAGAATATGAAAGGAAAGAGAAGCAAGTAGAAATTCGAAAGAAAATGTATGTGTTTAACATTTCTGTTTTCCGTACAACTATTGCTCATCCTGAACTGCCATCTCAAGATCTCTGAATTACAAGTCATTATGTATAGAGTTATACAATTGTTCTGCAAAATAACTTCACCTGAAATTCAGTGAAAGTTTTACCCCTTTTACTTTCCAATTTAGTGCCCATGCCGTGTCATTGCTTGTCCATTAGTAAGCATGCCCATGTGTCTGCCGCAATTATATCCGAGCAGAGCATGCATGAAAGCAAACATGCTGCTGGTAGGCCAGCTGCACTGGGCAGCATGGTGGAGACTTTCTGTACTTGAGCCTTTTATAATAGTTGTTATGAATCCAACTGTGTTATGTGATATTATGGGGGTATTTTCTTTCATGATCCATCTTTCTGTAACTCTGATAAAAAGTGTATATAAGAAATAATAGAACTAGAAGATTAAATCAGTGTATATAAGATTAACCCAAAGTCAGAATGACTGGGATTGTAAAACTAAACAATCATACTTTTTATCCCACCTCAACTTTCTTTTTGAGTTGATTTGAAGTCTTACTCTAAGATAATTTTTTTAATGTACTGTTATTGTTACTTTGCTGAATTCATGTATGCATAGATTCCACGGTGCCTTTCTGAAACCCTGTACTAAATGAACAAAAATTTGCGAGATCACGTAAATCTGAAGCTTGTGAATGTGTGTTGAAAATGCTACTTGTTAACCATCTAAAAGTTTGAAACTGATTTTATGATATTAGTTTCATCATATTTGATGTCTCTTACCAGGGGTAAAAAAGGAGTAAATATCTAGACAAAAGTGTTAACGAATTACCTTTCACATGACACCTGAGTGTCTGAGTTATTATACTAATCTAAATCTGTAAGAAGCGCAGCCCAATACACAAGGTCCCTACCATGCAACATCACTCCTGCAAACTGCAACGAACCCAATAAAGATCTAAGTGATATTATTGGCTCTATTGTTTAATTGTGCTTGACATAATTATACCTGCATGTACACAAGCACAATGCAGATATTTGTGTTGTAGATTGCTACTTTTGACATTTGATTTTCGCTCATGGTTTGACAGTGCAATATATTGTTTTTACAGTGAGTACTCAATGCAGCTGAATGCTTCTCGTATTGAAGTTCTTCAAGCGCAGGATGATTTAGTCAGCTCCATGAAGGAGGCTGCTGCAAAGGAACTCCTGCTTGTCAGTGTTAATCAAAAAGCTTACCAAAAGCTTCTGAAAGAGCTGATTGTCCAGGTTAAGATAATGCTAAAATGCTAATTGTATGTGTTTTCAGAGTCAATGTTGCATAAAGATGGTTCTTCAAATTGGTATATGCTACTTCATATACTGTGCTGCACTCTGGCCATTATCTTCAATCATAGCTGCATAAATTGCTAAACTTTATTGCAAATGCTCAAGCACCTATAGTTTCAGATGCTTCGGTGTTACTTTATGCTGATTTTTCTGATCAGTATAACAATAATGTTTTCTTCCTTCATTTATTGATTTGTCTTTAGCTATCTTTCAATATTTTGCCACAAGACTGACAATTCTTGTCCTTCAGAGCTTGCTAAGATTGAAAGAGCCAGCTGTCTTGTTGCGCTGTCGCAAGGATGATCTTCATCTTGTGGAGTCTGTTTTAAATCCAGCAAAGGAAGAATACACAAAAAAAGCAAATGTTCATCCTCCTGAAATTGTCGTAGATAATAAAACTTTCTTGCCACCTGCTCCTAGCCATCATAATGCTCATGGCCCCTACTGGTAATCTCTCTTACGTATAATTTTCATAACCATCTTGCCACCTACTGCCAATATCGATGTTGAAGATGTTCTATAGGACTCGTACCATTTTCTACCATTATAATGATACTGACTTTTGCAACCGCTCGAACCAATGTGGTTCCAAGAACAAAGTAGATACCAACATATACCATCTGATGTCACTGAAAAATAGTAAGAAGTGAGTAGCATACTAATGAGTACCAAGTTATATGATCGATTACAGGTGCCTGATCGGAGGCTCAAATATGGGTCTGTACTTATTGTCTGATCATTATTTTAGACCATGCACCCACCTTACTGTGTTTTGTATCCATATTGCAGTGACTTGTAACAACTTGTAAGACAATGTTCGTCCTTACATCTTATTCAAAATTTGACATTTTTGAGAATGTCTTATCGTAAGAATGTTAGTTTTTTTAATCAAACTGCACTCTAGTTGCACAGTTTACTCTATAGCAAATTTGCCTAGCAGGAGTAAATAAAATCTGTTAAATTGTAAAGATACATTATCTTAGAGAGAAGAAAGACTAAAATCTGAGACATATCTTGAGTTTATCTTCAATCAAATGAAAAATGATTGTTCCACAAGATATTTAATGATTCATTTTCAGATGCACTACGTAGAATGTCAACCTAAGTTTAACTGAAACTTAATTTCTGAAGGCAAATATGAGTTATAGAATGATTGTACTAGGAAAAAAGCATAACCCACATCCCAATTCTTCGTTGATCTGCACATGCACATAATAAATTCCACAGCCTCCGATTGTCTTGCTAAATTTATTATGCCTTCAAGGTCAACTGTGAACCATGGCAGTAAAATTTTATTTTGTACCTTTAATGATATGTTCCTTTTACCTCTATGCACTGCCTTCCTGCACTTATCCTGCCTGTTGTAAAACTAATGGGCTCATAATTTCTGGATTGAAGTTGTGCACAAGAGCATTTAGTGCTATGGTATTTGTATGAGAATTAGGGGCTCAATCCTTACGTTTGTCTACTTTTGTTTGAGAGACTTTTCAGAAAACTTTGGCCACCAGGTAAAAGTATTTAACTTATGATTTATTTTGGTGTTTCAGCTCTGGAGGTGTTGTCTTGGCTTCTATAGATGGGAAAATTGTCTGTGAGAACACACTTGATGCAAGACTTGACGTCGTGTTCCGGAAGAAACTTCCAGAGGTTTTCACTTTCTTCATTAGTATCTTTTATTTTTTGAATTTGATGTTGTTCTATTATAACACTAACTTTCTTAAATCTAGCGAATGTTGTCTCGTCCCAAACTACTGCAAGAATTTTTTTATAAATGCCTTGACCTGCATTTAGCTGAAGAAAAACATCATTCCTAGCCCCCAATTCATGATCCATTTCAGGAAAAGTAGAGATATCTATGTCCAGGAAGCAATTATTTGTTAAACAGTAGCATTTAGTTCTTGTCCATTTTAACAACCCTATGAAGTAGTACTCTCAGGCTATCTCATCTTTTTAATTTGTAGTTGATATTGCCCTGGAATGTGGAGAGACCCCAGAATAGGGTTTGCCATCACTCATTAGGATTTTTTAAGATTTCTACCCAAAAACACTTCAACAATGTTTAATCAGAACTTGTTCAAGTTCAATAATCTTTATCTTTTGAGAACCCCATCACCAATGCTTATTCCGAAAGGAATAATATAAATGAAATGTTTATTCTGACCATAATCTAGTCATATTGGGCCTCATGTTGGATTCCTGTCCCTTTATTATGCTGTGAATTGGTCATCCTTTTTTGGGTTTCTTTACTTGTTTACTGTTTCTCTGTTATCTTCCTAATACACACATTGATGTAAAGCAGACTCTCCTGATGAGCTAATGGCTATTAGTTGATTGTTGGTCCAATTTCATCAATCATATGTATGCCGTTGACTTACCAAGAAAGCGCCTTTTTACCTTTTTCTGCAGATTCGGAAGCTTCTTTTCGACCAGGTTATCGCTTGATTAGCTGATTGAATTTGGTAATAAAAAGACCAGGCCGTCTGCTTGATCAACTGAATAATTCCTGTGATACCAAATGTTTATTTCAGCAAGAAATAAATGATGGCTCAGCCATCATTGTTGAGTGTGTATCTATTTATCTTGTTTCAACCACTTAAAAATTATTTGTTGAATAATTTGTTAGCTATTCACAAACCCTAAAATTTTGGAGACTGTTCATCATTCTCTCATTCCAAACTCCTTCTCAGTAACATGTAAAGTTGGTGCCTATTTTATATGGCAATAAATGGACCAATGCAATTGCTCCAGATTCTAGTTGGATTATGGGATTGGTCACTACCTGTTTTACATGCATATATATATATATATATATATATGCATTTTACCCAAAAAGAAAAAAAGGCTCCACTATTGTTTTTATTATTATTATTTTCTACTTGGATGAAAATGTCTTTAGATTTTTATTAAAATGATTTGATCACATCTGTTATTAAAAAATAAATCAAATACAAAAAGTCTGAAGTTCTAAAAAAAAGGAAAATACATTATTCTAAGATTACAAGATGATTAATATTACTTTTATTTTTTTTTGTAATTTTATAGTAATTAATTATAAATTTTGGAAAATTTTAATTCATATTTGATCAAATTATTTTTGTAAAAATTTGAGGGTGTCTTCATCCAAATAAAAAAACTTTACTATTGAGCCATTATTCACAATCTCTTAAATAATTAATATTTTTTTTCTTTTCATCTAATTCTAATTTTATCATTTTTCTCTTTTCCTAATACCTCTATTATTGTTGCGTGCACATCTTGCATCATACTTTTAACTTTTTTTTTTGTTGATCGTTTTTTTTGTTGATCGTTTCGGTTCCGTAGTTTGTCTGATAGTACTTTTAACTCTTTGTTGTCGATCGTTTCGGTTCGCTAGCTTGTATGATAGTACCTTTTGTTTGTCGCTCCTTTAATAAAATTATCCAAGGAGGATGAAAAAGGATAATTATATTTATTTTATAAAAAATAAAATTATTAAATTATTAAAAAAAATAAAAATAAGATTATAAATAGTAAATAGTAATCTCTTAAAAAGAAAAAACTCAAACTTAAAACGAATATGAGGGTATCATTTGATAAAAAAAAGGCCAATGGTATATGCTTTAAAATGCGCAAGAAAGAAAAGATAAACGCTATGATAAAAACTCCATCACAATCTGAATTCAACTCTACACTGAAAACTTCAATTATATCCCATGCTACTCTAAAGAAAGAAAAGCCAATCGAATCAAAACAATGGCCTATGAACACTTCACCAGCAATCTCTCCTTTCCATCTCATGTCATGGGTGCATCTTCGTTCTCCATACGTGGCCGAGTTCTCGTCATCGCTGCCGATGGCATCCTGCTCTTCCCAACACAGGCAGCTCCAAGGGCATCATTCTCTTCCGCATGTCTCACGATCTGCTTCATCGTCCTCTTCTTCTTCACCAGTCTACGTATACCCACCCCCATCAGAACCACCAAAGCCAAGGCAAACATTCCCCCGACGATGTCCATGGCCAAAACCCTCCACTTCTTCTCTTTCCTTGCAGGAGCGTGGCCTGAAGAGCTCCCTGAAGGCACGATGATCGTGAAGTGCCCTGTGCTCCTCGCCGTGCACTCGCCTGTTGATGCCGGATTCTGGAGATGCACCGACCCATCTCGTTCGAACCTAGCACATCTCGTCGAGGAATCCGGTGCAGCGACTGGGAATCTGATGGATACCGGGTCTTCCGTCACCCTGAGATCGAGCTCTGCCGAGCTTGCGTTATCGGATGCGTCGTAAAGGAAGAGGCCGATGACAGGAGCTGCAAGTTCGTAGCCCGGCACGCCGAAGTACGAAGCCGACATGCCTCTCCAGTTCTGGTACACGACCACGACTCGCCTGACGTGAGGCACTGCAAGTGTTCCTGGAGGAATGTGGGATGCACACAGATTGGCTCCTCGCCTCCACAGACTGCTGCTCCTCAGCCTCAGAACCGAAGCCTCCATGGTCGACAAATTCGCCGGGAGGGGCACGCGGTACGCTACGCCGGTGCGGCGCCGGACCAGCTCGTGAAACGCACGATCTCGAATCAGGGAATCCATCGAGCGGGACGCCGATCCATCACTCGATGTCCGGCCGCAGGAGGAGCTAAAGAAGGAGAATAACAAGGCCAGGAGGACGCACCCACCGCGTCTTAGTTCCATGAAGCGCATGCAATTGGATAAGACAAATAAGAGTTTTCTGGATCAAGCGAAGATGGATCGAAGACGGCACGCACGCACAAAGACTTGGTCGTCTCTCATGGCCGAACAGAAGAGGTGAGACATACTTGTACTCGTCTCCTTCGCCAGCATCTCGACGTTCTTATCTGTTCGATGGTTGTATGTCATGTGTGTCGGTGCCTCTGCGGCGGAGAGGAGTAACAGCTGCTCAGCTGTGAAACCAGCGAAATGTGGAACAGAAGCGGCTCATGATAACAGTCTATTATACGTATATATATATATATATATATATATATATATATATATATATATATATATATATATATATATATATATATATATATATATATATATATATATATATATATATAATATATATATATATA